CGGATTGACACAGAAGTTGGCTGCCACTGTATTGGCACACACTGCCCGTCACACCGACACCAGCATAAAGGTCAGCTTCGACGAAAACCTGGGCGTCGAGGACCTGGCCTCCGAGCACGCTGATTCCGAGCTGCAGACTGGGCACGAGGTGCGCCTGGACGTTGCCCTCCAGATTCACGTTGTAGCCCAGAGAAAGTCGTAGCCCTGGTTGCTGGAGTCTGGGCTCACTGGGTTTGCTGTTTGTTCCTCGTCTGCTTTGTTGTCTTGCTTGCCAAAGACGACATCATACCCGGGAATGTGTACCCGACAGTGGCGCTGTAAGTTCCAGACATGCTGAGTGTGCCTGATGTAGCCATCAGGTACTGAGCAATCAATCCACTAAGCTGCCCACGCACCACTCAGCTCTCCGTAGAGATGCAGACTCGGCCCAATCGTCAACAATCCCGGGTAATAAAGCTACCATCTCATCGTGAGCGACTAGCATCACAAAGAAAGCGCGGAGACTCACCCCAGGGAATCCAAACGACACGAGCTCACTTCTCTCCGTCCCGAAATCCACCTGCGCAAGACCGGTGATGGTGAACGTGGCCTGGGCGCTGGCACCCGCGTTCAGATAGACGTAGCATTTGCTGGATCGCAGGCGGAACGATCGTCGCTTCGAGATAGTAGCCAAATCGGCTGTTCGCTTGGGCGTTCCCCGAGACCGAGATATCGAGACTGGAGCTAAGTTGGGACAGGACTGGGTGCGCGTGTCAGCTGGTGCACATAACTAGCCGGCATCAACGAAATCCCACCTCTTCCTGATGAAAGATCGTGTACTGTTCATTGTTTAGAAACAAACCGCGTCACGAAATGAGCGACATACTTTATCCGACCAATGGAAGTTTCGCGACACGCTATTCGAGTTCGTCACCGTGTTGATCTTCTGAAGCCAGTTGTCGAACGGCCCAAACCACCGGCGTTCCAGTTCCTCAGGCTGGTGGAATTCACGTTTGCTGTTCGATCGCTTGGTTGAGGTTGTCCCTGAATCTGGAGGGTGTTGATGATAGCATCCCAGTATCCAGGCATATCGGTCTGGGCTCAACAATAAGCTTAATGGATACACATGAAAAACATGACTAACCATATCAGCACGCATCCTGTGCAGAGATTAAGAAGAGAGTCAGCGGATCGAACGGTCGTGGAGAGGAAGACCGACAAAATAGGCCCGTTCGCAGCTGGCACAGCAGCAAAGTTGTAGTCGAATGAGAACTGGTACACGAGCTCATTCTCTGGTAAAGCTCTCTTCAACCTGGCAGCTGCGAGGACGGCTTGATTCTCGTGCGGAGCAAGCGACACGACCCGGCATAGGGTCCCAAGCCACAGCTCTTCGGCATTCGGACGACGGTGTGCTGGGCTTCTCCGATGAAAACATGCCCGCATCCGGAATCGTCTCCATCCATGGTCTTGGAGCAGTAGGCAAGGACCTTTCAGAATCATCAGCGTTGGAGAAGCAAACACAAGAGATCGACTGCACCGTCTGGGGCTGGTCACTCTTTGCATCACAGTCATGGATGACCCAGTCGGATGCTAGATCCAGGGAACTAACACTTCCCGGATTGGGGGATGAAATGAACACCTCGCCGAACTAACAGACGTGAGTCAATTAGAAATAAACATTCAGTGGACAGACGAACCGGACTGTCGTTCTCGCGTCCATCGTCTGATTCTCCACTCGTTCCAGAACCCTGTGAATTGACGTCAGGGGTACCATGTTCTGCCCAGAGATGATGAGCAAGTAGCGGTGAAGTGCGTAGGACTGCTCACGTCATCGAAGTCGACAGTGAATGACGCTGGTTGGATGACTTCGCTCGAGCCAGGGATGCTGGTGAGCTGAGGCAGAACCCATGCTTCCGGTACAGGCAGGAACTGTTGATCTGAGTATAGATGAGATCTCTGATACATCAAACATGGACAGGAGTGCTCACTGGAAGGAGGATTACAGCAGTAGAGCCGTTTTCCGTTCCCAACACAAGACGAAGACGCGTCGCCTTGCATGTCACTGACTGTAGAAAAAGTTGAGATCAGTTGTACGTCGGGTGTGAGTCGAGGGTAGCTTACAGATCCCGACTTGCCCCGCTGGACAAGCTGAGTTCAGACAATTCGGCAAGTCGCCGACCCAGTGACACTAGAAACTCCGTCAATGACGTGCAAAATGTACAGAGACCAGTCAAATCACATTCGTATAGGATGAAATCACTGAGGGAAGCAGAGTCAGATGAAGACCAAGGCCCCGAATCAGACAGTCGACGAACCATTGGCTTGACAGCATACAGGCTTGTTGTTGGTGCTGCAGATCGGAGGACAAGGTTGCTTGTTGATGACATTCGGGCTTGAATTCTGAGCCTCGCAGCTTCCGTTGTCCTCGCTCCCTTGCCTCACAAAGGTCAAGAACGCGTCCCCGGATGCACACGCCGTCTGCGTCTCACCACAACCCGTCGCGTGGCATCCCGTCGGATCATTCTGGTCGCTTGAGCAGCAGAACGCCTTGGTTCCCTGCGCGCAAGTCGGCTTGCCATCGCCGCCGACTGGGTCAGTGGCGAGAGTGATCTCGCCCACATTGCAGCTAGGATTGCACGTGCTGGATCCTCCGCCGCGCCAGGAGCAGCTCTGAGGCGCATTGCCAGACGGACAGCAAAGCTTGGCGGGCGAATTGGCGTTGCACGATGATCCCGCACCGGGATTCGTCGTCAATGTCGTGAGAGTGTCCCATCCGGAAGGGCAATTTTGTCCGCATCCCGTGATCGTGCATTGATTGCCGGACTCGACGGAGGACGGCTTGTTGACGTCGATCCCCGGATAGAGTGCAGAGAGCGCAGAATACTGCAGATCATCCTGGTCGACAGACCAGATCATCGTTCCTGTCGAGACATAAACAAAGACAAGCGCGAAAGAAGAAGAGACGCGCCTCCGACACAACGAGAGTTGGCAAACTGCAACTTCATCTGCAGGGTCTGGCTATCATCTGGGAGTCGATCAGCGTTCCCGAGTTGGGCAAGAACCGACGCGAGGACGCACCATAGCTGACCCATTGATCGTTGTTCCACACGATGTACTTGACTGCGGCGTCAGGATCCAGGATCGGCTGGAGGCTGTTTTGTGCAATGATCTGCTCGATCTCGGAAAACCTGACAGCCCAAGTTTATTCAGATGGCAAAAAAAACGACAGCTCGAGCTCACATTAAAGTTCCAGAATTGGCCGAGCACGGGCCTGGATTCGCTCCACCGACGAAGGCACACCCAGGCGAGGAGCAGCTTGCGCTGGCAAGTTGGAAAGAACGACCATAGAAACCGATTCCGAGGACGATTTGGTTGGGATTCACGCCGACATTGTCGAAGAGAGACAAGGTGTCTTTGATCTCCGTCCTGGGTTAGTGCATCAGCATCCAAGTAGCTTGAAAAGGTTGGGGGGGCTCACAAGTTGGTGTGAGCAAGAACCAGAGAACCGATATATGGATCAACACCGTCCCAAGTCTATCGACACACTTCAGCTGACCGAAAAGCACTGCGGGTCGCTTTACGCACTCCGTGAAGATCGTACGTCATCACGTTGACCCAATCCGCCGACTGCATCAGACCCGGGAGATCAAAGTGTTGCAAATACCAGTAAGATGAAGGTGCAGTAAATGTGAGCCCGTAGTTCCGGGGCTTGAAGGCTGCTTTGACTTTGGACATGAAAGTCACATAGTTGGCCTGCAGTAATTGAAGCATGTACTGTAGGTATGATCGTGAAGATAGTACACACCTTATCTGCAGGATTACCGCCACGATCGTACGCAGCAGGATATTCCCAATCAACATCTTTTCTCGCCGTAAGAGCTGGTTCAGCTAGAAGGGAAAAAATGTACCGATTCCATCAAACCCATACGCTTGCAGAGTGTTCAGAGCACTGCTGATAAACGTAGCTGTATTGGCAGCACTGCCAACGAGTTGACTGAAGATCTGGGACGTAGGCTGACCACAGGTAAACCTCGTGAATAGGCAGACAGCCGAACGAAAAGCGTACCGGGTCATTGAAACTCCATCCTCCGATTGACAAGAAGACTTTGAGAGAAACGTTCTTTTTCTTGAGAGCCGTGGTCCGGGTCCACAGGGCAGCATCGCCAGGAGACATCTCAATGATTGTAAACGAGTTGGATATGAGGGCAAATGCAAAGTTAACTGGAGAAACGCTGAGCATCAGAGTTGCATTTGGACCCAAACACAAGATTCACTGTGTGTCAGAGTCTCTGCTGATATCATCTCGGGTGTGTACGAGAGACAGGAGCGCGTCGTTGCCCATCCCTAGAGACGTAGTATGAGCACAAATAGCGCCCCCACTAACGATAATGGCCCACCTCGTAGTATCCGATCCGACGTTGAGTCGCACTTTGTTGATCAGCCCCGCACGATGGGGTGCCGGGGGATTGCAGTTGGACTGGCAACCAGCCGAGCAGAACTCTGAATCCAACGGTCAGCCATCAACTGAAGGGTGCTGCAACCTAATCCACATACCTGCTGTTGTACCACAGAAGCCGAACTGAGAGCAGCACACATTCAAAGGACACGTGAACTAATGACAGACGTTAGATGGCTCAAAAGAGTCGTGGGCCACTGAACTCACGTTGGCGGGAGCAGCAAAGGGTCCGCATTCAGCGAGAGCGTCACAATGCGACGTGCAGTGTCCACCACTAGCTACCGTGGTACAGAAACTGGGGCCGAACCTGGATGTCCGATCAGTTTTGAGCCCGGACACCAGCTCATCGGACGTACCCGCAAAAACCAGACTGTCCATTACAACACGCGCCATTGCTGCAAGGTATGTCTGCGGTGCAGGATCCGACTGGAAGCACAGAGGAGTTGGTGGCCTGCGATACGACGGACGTCGGCAGCAGTGCTGCTCGGGGCGCGATCTCGTCAGCGATGCAGCAGTCAGCGGAGCGCGGGACATCGCCCACCGATTGCTAGGCTCAGGAGAAGCGAGAGTTGGCAGATAACGCGTCGCATCTTTGTTTACTCTGCACAGGGAGCAGAGTGAGCAGACGCGTCCGTTGATCCCACCGTTTCGATGCCCTTGAATATATGCATTCCAGACATAGCGCCGTCTCCGAATCAGTACCAGCATGACTAGGAAGGACCCCGAGTGCATCCATGAGATAGTGTCGACCTGCACTTCCTGTTTAGATGGGGCGCGTCGAGATGTTCGCATTGTCATCTGCGATCTGAAGTGAAGGCGTATTCCAGGCTGTCTTTGACGTCGGTACCGAAGACTTCGGGTTGGTAGATAGCACTATTGCTGGCTGTGGCGTCTGACTCGGGCAGTAACCCGGGGACAGGAATGGACGGGGTAAAAGCCCGAGGAAGGCCGAACCGACGCTAGAGCGCTGATCATTATGATGGCTAGCGCTCATTGTCCAAACAGCACTCAACTCGGAGCGCAGCTGCGCCGTGCTCAACGTTAACCACTGGCAGTTCTCCATCACGCGAATTCGGAACTGGAGCTTTGAGCGCTCGCTCATGACACCTACCACCGAAAAACTGCGATTTGTCTCTAAGTTCAGCTTGCGAACCTCGTGAGCCTGGAACGTTCGCGGATCCAAACTTTGCAACTACGATTCTTGATTGTTGGGACCTTTGTCAAGTTTTACTTCAACGCATCTCTCGATATCATGGATACATGAGAGCGGAGTTAGCCATTAACTAGAACAGGGCGTCGGGCGGCCACTGACCAGATCCGTGCTAGGAGGAGGAGATCCTTGCGCTGTCATGAGGAAGCATCCGCATTCATTCGAGGCGCTCGGGTGTCGCATTTACGTGCACCCAAATCTCATGCCGCCAATATCATGAGTGTTCATTCGGTGCCAGAGGTCCCGACCGTCCACCGCGCTGCTCGGTCGAATTCCTCCAATGTCCTAATCCGACCTGTTCTCCCTACTTATGTCTAGGCGATAATCTGGAGCATGAATCACTCTGGAGCCCATCATGCACCGGAGGCTCTCTGTCTTGCTCTTCCCCCTCCTGTTCCTCGTCCCCCGCGCTCTGTCGAAGCAGCCATTCAACAAGGTCATCCATCACATCGATAAAGCGCAGGACCAGGCCTTCCACGATGCACTGCTGAAGCAACTAGCCAGCTCGCGAAAGAACACAACTGTCACTCCGTCGACGACGCCTGAGCTGGCCGCGTCGAATGTGGACCTGAGCATGGGCATCGTTGCGGCTGCAGCGACGAACGGCACCTTTGCGGACGGCTCGACGTCGACGTTCCAGATCTACACGCAGAACAGTCTCCCGACGTCGCCGGCTCCTTCCAGCGCCTGTGCAGCTGCTCTGACCGCTTCCGTGCAGTGCAACTCGACGGTGCCATTGATGAGGTAAGCTCGCCAGTGGAGGTGCTATCCGCGGTTTCTCAATGCTTTTCCAGTAACTATCCGTACTTGCTCATCAACGACTTGGCGAGTGTTTGCACTTCGCAGTGCACCGCCTCGCTCGCAACGTACCGCGCGAATGTCGTCTCGGCCTGCGGGAATCTGGCCATCTCGGGCTCGAACAACGTGACCTACCATCCGACTTTGGCAGTAGACACCATCGCCGGGCCGTATACGGTGCAGTGTCTGCAGGATCCGACCACGCATCAGTTCTGCGAGCCCCTCGTCGCGGGATTCAACACCACCGGCGGGCTCCTGTCCCTCCCGTCCAACCAGCTGTGCACGTTCTGCACGCTAAAGACTCTGAATGCGACGCTTTCGAACCCCATCACGTACTCTGTGCCGGTCGCCCAGCTGCTGTCGTCCGCTGTTGCCCAATGCGGAAGGTATGTTTGATCGATGCTGCTGAAGAAGTATTACCGAGGACCCTGACGCCAACTGCAGCTCGTTCAACTCATACAACGTCTCAGCGCCTGGCACAGGCAGCATCACGACGCCGCCATTTGGTGTCACCGCGTCGACCAACGTCGCCGCGGACTGCGCCGTCTCTGGCAAGAACGTCTCGGTCTCAACAGCCACGACGTGCTCCGCACTGGCCAAGTCGAACAGCGTGACCATTTACTCCATCTTGTCGGCCAATCCGTTCCTCTCGGGATCCACCGACTGCGCTGTGCCTTCTGGCAGCCAAGTGTGCGTCGTCAAGCCCTGCACGACGTACACGGTCGTGGCGAACGACACGTGCGACAGCATTGTCGCCAAGTCGGCCCAGCTCACGGGTACGGGGATCACCACTACCCAGCTGCAGTCTTTCAATGCGGATCTTGGCACGTATTGCCAGCTCATCTCGGCGAAAGTCGGCCAAACCATCTGTCTGACACCGAATGGCGGCTTCCCGAATGTGAGTGGGCTACGTACGTGATCCAGAGCACCCGTCTGATCTTGCAGGTGGGAGTGTCCACTGCCAATCCCAACAATCCATCGGCGACCCCGACTGCGGCCGCGTCGATTCCCACGCCGACGGCGCCAGGGACGACGAACCAATGCGGCAAATACTACCAGGTCGGGCAGGGGGATATCTGCAACACAGTTGTCCTCGCAAACAGCATCTCGTTGCCAGACTTTGTGACAATGAATCCAGGTACGTTTGTGCTAAACCATCTCAGCGCTTCGCACGTCTAATGAAGCCAGAAATCGACGCCAACTGCACTAATCTGTGGCTCAGCTACTACTACTGTGTGGCCCCCTTTCCTCCGTTTTCGACAGCCTCGGCTTTGCCTCCTGTGACCACCAATTTCTCGAGCGCCAGCACTTTTGCGTACCCGATTCCAACGGCGTCATACACGCCGACGTTCGAAACTTTCGTGCTCACAGCTGCTGGTGTTCCGGCTCCGACCAATGTGGCGAATGGTACGAGGACTGTGGGCTGCGGGTTCTACTATGACGTTCAGGTCATTGGCATCCAATTCTACGTTCAAACAAAGACTGATACCTTTCTTGAAGGCGGGTGACACCATCACGACTATCAGCAACACCACGGGCCTGAATTCGACCGAGCTCCAAGCGTGGAACCCCGAGCTTGCGAAAAGTAGCCCCCAATCGGGCACTGCGCTCTGTGTCGTCTATCCCAAGGGGAACTACACGCTCGCTATTGCCCCGACTCCATCGAATGTGGCCGCGAATGTGACGACAAGCACGTGCGCGCAGTACTACACCATCCAGAACGGCGACTCGTGCACCAGTGTTGAGTCCAAATTCTTCATCGACGACCCGACCTTCAAGTCGTTGAATCCTGGGATCAATTCCCAGTGCACCAACATCGTGCTGGGGCTCGCTTACTGCGTGTTTTCGATTTACGCGCCGCAGGCTGCTACCGGGCCAACAGGCCCTCCTTCGAACGTCGCTCCTGGAACGATCACGCAAGGATGCACCAACTACTACACCGTCGCCTCTGGTAACAGCTGTGCCACGATCGAAAGCCAGTTCAATCTGACACTCGCTGCGTTCATCACCTTGAACCCCGAGATCAACCAGCAATGCACGAATCTGGCGCTCGGCGAGGCCTATTGTGTCGCGTCAAGCAACAGCACCGTCCCACCCAATGTCGCTCCGGGGACGATCACCCAAGGATGCACTCAATACTACACCATTGCTTCTGGAGACGGATGTGCCAGCGTGGAATCCACGTTCCATCTCACTTTTGCGCAGTTCCAGGCGATGAATCCTGAGCTCAACGCCCAGTGCACGAATCTCGCGCTGGGAGAGGCGTATTGTGTCGCCTCGAGCAACAGCACGAGCAGCGGGCCGCCTTCCAATGTCGCTCCAGGCACAATCACGGCTGGGTGCACGCAATTCTACACGATTGCATCAGGAGACGGATGTGCCAGCGTCGAATCCAAGTTCAATCTCACGTTCGCCAAGTTCCAGGCGATGAACCCCGAGCTCAATGCCCAGTGCACCAATCTCGCCCTGGGGGAAGCGTATTGCGTCGCGTCGAGCAACGGCACGAGCACCGGCCCGCCGTCGAACCTGGCCACTGGCTCGCTCGGCAACTGCACGTCCTACCACACAGTCGTCTCAGGCGACACCTGCACCGCGATGGACTCGACCGCCAAAATCGCCTTGGCGGACTTTTTGCGGTGGAACCCAGAGATCAACACTGGGTGCACCAACATCCAGCTGAACCAGGCGTACTGTGTGGGCGGTGGGGGGTCCGCGTGTGCGAAAGTGTACACCGTCAAGTCTGGGGATTCGTGCTCTGCGATCGTGGCTTCGCAAGGCGTGACGCAGGCGAGATTGAATGCGCTCAATCCCCAGATCAATTCCGGTTGTTCGAACTTGGGTGTCGGGGAGAATTTGTGTGTTGGTTAGAAAGTAGTGTCCGCCCTCAGTCTATATATATTGCAGTAACAACGACGAGTCCTTCGATCGGTATATCCGCACTGGAAACGACCTTCTCATAGTATGAACACTGGACGATAGACACTTGCACGCAACCAGACCGGCAATTCATGTCCAAGATGACGTGATGGTGCTGCCGCCGCAAGTCCGCATCATCACCTGTGTGATCCGAGGTCTACAAATCTTGACCACAACCTACGCGTAGCTCTCACACAGCGAGGATAGGCGCAGAAGCGAGCAACCGGTGGCCATGCATCCCGCTATGCGACGCAAGATTCCGCCCGTCCTGCCCACCTCCAAGGCCGTGACATACGGATTGCATCCAGCACGCAGGCTGCTCGAGTCTTCGCGTCCCACGCACCGCCAGTTCACAACCTTCCTCGCCTCGGGCACCCTGCGCCAGCGCTACGCGCGCCCATCCCCGGTCCCCTTCCGCAACGTGCATGTGCGCGCCATCTCCTACTCGTCCATCCCGCGATTCGTGGCCCGTGCATTTCGCGTGCCGATAGCAGGTGTCACTGTCGGGGCTGGCGGTCTGGGGTATGCGAACTACAAGTTTGAAGGTGTGTGCGGTGTGCAAACGAGCAGTCGGCTCCTGCTTAAAAGCGAGGGCAGAATTCAGGAAGACGTCTGCGGCGTGGGTCATCCAGGCCCAGGACGCGGCGACAGATATCCTCGATTCCGCTTCAGACGGACTCAAGACCGTCGGAGGATTCGTGTCGAAGATTGAAACCCCCGATTTTGTGAAGGACTTGTTCGCGGCGCGGAAAGAGAGACGGAAGCAGCGGAAGGAGGAGAAAGAGAATGAGGACTCCAAAGGTTCAAAAGAGCGGCCACCCACAGACGAAGCAGCCGTTGCCGCTCTTGTTGCTGCAACCATGTCCTCTCCTGAAGAGCCGCGCAATAACTCTACCGATTCCACTTTCGATGGTCGTCAAAACGGACTCATGGGCCTCACCAAGAAACTGATCGAAATACGAACGATGTTGCTGAGCATCGATCAAAGCGACTCGCTCAAGCTACCTAGCATCGTCGTCATTGGAAGTCAGAGCTCGGGCAAGAGCTCGGTTTTGGAGTCGATCGTGGGCCAAGAATTCCTCCCCAAGTACGTCGGCTTCCCTGTCCTTTTCACTCGTCGCTGACGAGGTCAGAGGGAACAACATGGTCACTCGCCGACCAATAGAGCTGACACTCGTTCATGTCAGCTCCCAAGACGGCTCTACTCCGAAGGAGTACGGGGAGTTCCCTGGGTTGGGATTGGGGAAAATATCAGACTTCACTGTCATCCAGAAGACTCTGACTGATCTCAACCTCGCCGTCCCTGCTTCCGAGGCCGTCTCTGAAGAGCCTATCGACCTCAGGATATACTCCCCGAACGTGCCAGACCTCACACTCATCGACCTTCCTGGTTACGTCCAGCTGGCGTCGCTCGACCAGCCCGAGACGCTGCGGGAGAAGATCTCTGCTCTTTGCGAGAAGTACATCAAGGAGCCTAATATCATCCTTGCCGTCTGCGCTGCCGATGTCGATCTGGCCAACTCGCCCGCGCTTCGCGCCAGCCGCAAGGTCGACCCACTCGGACTACGCACGTTGGGTGTCATCACGAAGATGGATCTGGTGCCGCCCGAGCAGGGCGCGAGTATTCTGGCGGGCAACCGCTATCCTCTTCATCTGGGCTATGTTGGAGTTGTGCTCAAGGCTGGCAAGAAGAAGGCAAACACGACAGCGGTCGCGGTCCAGAACGAGTATTTCCGCGCCAACAGCGACGTGTTCGGCAGCTCGAATTCCCTCATGGTTGGCACCGACACTCTGCGGCGGCGGCTGATGGAGGTCCTCGAGTCGTCGATGGCTTCGTCCTTGCACGGGATCACCAATGCGGTGCAGCTCGAGCTGGAAGAGGCGACATACCAGTTCAAAGTGCAGTACAACGACCAGCGGATCACGGCCGAGTCGTACGTCGCGGAAACGATGGATGCTCTGAAGCTGCGTTTCAAAGAGTACACCCAGCAGTTCCGCCGCCCCATGATTCGCGAAAAGCTCAAGAGCATGCTGGACGACAAGGTGATGGACGTTCTGGAGCAGTTGTACTGGCAGGATAAACGCGCTGGAGAGCTGGGCACGCTGGGCTCTGATCCTCGCCTCGCGCCCGAGGCGATTGAGCCGTACTGGCGGCACAAGCTCGAAGCTGCATCGTCTTTGCTGACCAAATCCGGCATCGGCCGGGACTCGACGCTGCTCGTCGCCGATGGCTTACGGGCTCTGATCGACTCGATCGCCAGCGGGGAGCCATTCACGCATCACCCCCGTGCCGCCGACCGGCTGATCCAGTTCTCCCACGCCATTCTGCGCGATCGCATCGGCGTCGCGTCGGACCAGGTCGAAAACTGCATCAAACCGTACAAATACGAAGTGGAGGTCGAGCCCCGGGAATGGGACATTGGCCGGGAGCACGCTATCGACCTGTTTGAGAAGGAGGTGAATATGTGTGAATCCAAGCTGCGCGAGATACGGAAGCGGGTGGGCGGCAGCAGACGCCTGGGAAGCGTGGTCAGCTACGTCAAGGGATTGGAGGAGAGGGAGAGAGACCGCCGCAATAAACGCGCGGACGGTCAGGAGCCGGATGAAGAGCCTGAATCGTATCGCTATCCCCCGGCACAGATTGTGGACGGTATGTTCAGTCTTACTCTCTGCGCCGCTTGACATTCATCTTGTTGTGCAACAGCTCGCCATGCCATCCTCTACACAGACCGTGTCTCCATCCTTCGCTTGCGGCTTGCTGCCCTGCGCTCAAAGCGATGCAAGGCGGGGCCCCAAAGCGATGTCTTCTGCCCGGAAGCGTTCCTGAATGTGGTCGCCGACAAACTGGCGTACACGAGTGCCATGTTCATCGGCATCGAGCTGCTCGATCAATTCTTCTACCAGTTCCCACGTGAAATCGACACCCGCTTGCTCTACGATCTGGACCGGAAGGAGATCGTCGACTTCGCTCGCGAGAACCCCACCGTCCGGAAGCATCTTGATCTGCAAGAGCGCAAGGACAAGCTTGAGGAGGTTTGTCGGGCATTCGCCATCTGTTCTGTTCCCATCGCTTACGGGTCCCGTGCAGGTCATGAAGCAGCTGAACGGTTTGTCGACCTTGCGCACGGATGCTCAACCCGCTCCCCGTCGGCAGCGAGGATTATTTGGAGGCATGTTTTAACCGGATTGACCACTTATCACGATCTATTCCCTCTCTGTATGTACATACGTCCTGTAAACTCGTATAATCCAATAGATCCCCCATTCTTTTCAAGTGCAAAACATTGACAAGTACAGTACACGAACAGATCACAGCTTGGCCTTGGTCTTGGGCTTGCTAGCCTGGGAAGAATGAGCCGTCGTAAGGGCAAACCGACGCGAAAAGTAGCACCTTGAAAACCGAGTCCAGTTTAGTCGCAAGCATCATGTTGCCCTTGGTCTTCAGCTTTCCCGTCATGAACGCCTTCTGGCCGTTGAGCTACGTCATCAGATCCTTTAGTCTTTGCTCATCGGCAAACCAAGTTCGGTGACGCACCTTTCCCGAAGCCAAGTCCACTAGCGTGTCGTCCGAGAGGATGATGGTGACATCGGCCTTGGGCTTTGCCTCCCCCAATGACACGGTCCCCGTCTTCTTCAGATCAATAGTCCACACGGCCGTCTCCTTCGCCTCGTTGGTAACCTGGAGCTGGAAGATGCCGTTGACCTCGACGAGACATGAGCAAGCAGGGTCGCCGTTTGACATTGGATGGAGTCACCTTCTTGATCTGGGCGGCCTTCTCAGCGTCGGTCGAACTGGCGAACTGGTCGTTGATGGTGGAGATGACCTCGGAAGACTGCGGTGCACGTTTGAGCGGGACGAAACTACTCAGAAAAGGAGCCGAGGACTACCTTGAAGTTGTCAACTTTGAGACCAGACATGGTGGTATGCGGAGAAGATGGATGAAGCTGGTGAAAGTCCACACTGGGGTAAGTAGCACTGGCAGTTATCACAAGCCAATGCCCTAATGCCGTGATTGCCACCTTGATCCGCAAAGATTACTACCTCCATCCGGTTAGCATGGGAAACGGTGAGCTAACGTGAGGCCCCTGAGGCTCAACAGACAACAACACTGCTTGCAGGCTCACACAATGAAGTTCATCGACGTTCCAGCGCTCTCGAGATTGGCGCAGGCCCTCGGTCACGACGTAAGCATACAAGGCTGCACCGTACGGACTTCATTCACGCAGGCGCCTGTCAGGGACCGGAATGCTCAGTCCACACGCGTATCGAAGCTTACTCATGTAAGAACATCAAGCGAGACAAGAAGCTATTCAAGTCGCTGGAACACGCATACAAGGACGAAATTGCACATTCTCCATCATGGCTGCCTCCCGACTCGCAGGAAATGACACCGTTCGGTCCGCTTGCAGACGAGAGTGCCCGCAAGACCATGTACCTCCTCATCTCTACCCTCAATATCGCATTTCCCGACTATGACTTCTCCGACGTCCGACCGAACCAATTCGTGAAAGAGAAGAGTGGCGCGAGCGTTTTGAATGCTCTGAGCACAACCCTTGCGCTGCCGCACAGAGGAGGCTCGAGCAACGCCCCACGCACGTTCTCGTCCTACCCGCCTTCATACCCTGATATCTTTCCCTCTTCCGAGCCCACATCGTCCTCCCCACTAAGCTCTCTCCTCCGCAGTCCCCTTGCACCCCCTCCTGTGGTATCGGGAACCCATCCCACGCTTTACCGGCTTCTCGACGACGTCATCGGCGTCGCCGACTGCGAGGTCTATTCCTATGTGCCCGACTTGGCATCCGATCCCCACGCTGATGTAGACGGAGACGAAGACGACGGAACAAGCGACGAGTCGGACTCCACAGACGACGGAGAGCTGTTTGAGTTCGACAATTACGATATCGACGAGGCATTGTCGCGGTCCCCGCCGTCCCCATCGACATCGCCGCCCTCTCCGGATGCGGCCTGGCCGCCTAGTTCCAGACGCAAGCACGGCGCGCTGTTGTGGTCGTCGCATTGGTTCTTCTTGAACCGGAAGCTGAAGCGCATTCTGTTCATGTCGATATGGGCCCGCAGTCAGATACTCGGTCGGGGCTGGATCGATGATTCGGTGGACTATCTTGATCTGCAGGCCAAAACGACAGAGCGATTCCATGGTTGGGAGGGTGGTGCCGGTGCCGGTGCCCGGGCTCTTGGACTGGACGTCTTTTGAGATGGAGTGCACTGCCGCTCTAACACACATATCTACGTGAGTCAAACTGCGTCTCCGAGATGACATGGTAGCTCACCTGTAGCAGCCTCTCCTCCTGTCCCTTTGTGTTTCTCCTCCCACACTCTTCACACGCCTCCAGTCTCTTTTGGTTCGGACATTGATTCCCAGTGCTGGCGTCGGACTTGTAACATGTCACTGACTCTTCGTCAGAGCTGTACTCTTGTTGTACCATTCTTCGGCGCGTAACATAATAATCAACCTCGCGCGTTGAACCATAGTTCTTGCGGCTGCGATATTCTGTAGTTTCTCATAGGAGCTAGTTTTTCCAATGACCACCTGTAAACATCGACAAGACGGAGGACATACCATAGAGCGGAAAAGGACGGCTGAGAACATATGCATGAATCACGAGCCAATGGGCGCGTCGCTCAGGTCACCGGCTTGTCGATTGACCCAACAACGCGAATTTCGAGAGTTGGAGGAGCGAAAGGGAAAGCACCACCCAGTCGCCCGTTGTGCATGGAGTCAGAGCGAAAGAGCGGAATGTCGAGTCAGGCAGAGGCAGTCAGTGATGATCGATGATCTATCGATGCTCAAATTTTACGTCGCGGTCATGATTCGAATCCAACCCAGGTCATTACTAATATGTATGCTTGTGAAATAATTATCTAACATGGTCCGGATTGCTTATGCCACGGGTATGAAGCAGACCGAATGCACATCACCATCGTCTCGTCTCGTTGAGCTTCCGTGAAAAGGCTTCGCGGCACTGGTAATGCGTCACCTCACCGCTGTCAGGTGATCAGCCAGGGTCTCGTGATGTCCATAAAGCAAGCACGTACCGCGGAGAATGTACAGCGATGAAACTGTTGCCGATACGTTTATGGCACTGCGGGCATCTAGGAAGATCGGTTAGGCCGACAGAAAAATGGGTTAGAAAGACGCCTTACATCCGACTGTCCGTGACTTTGACGCGTCGAGTTTGCAGCGCCATAAGCTTGCAGTCGACCTGGTCACCTCGAGCTTTGCTCAGATTACGCACGACCCGAGTATCGAAAATGGGAGCCCGAAGTGCACCAACGAGGAAAGTCCGGACGTCCTGCGTTGTGACCAAGGGTGGGAGCAGCTGCAAAGTCGCCACCGAGTCCAATTGATGGCTGTGTCGAGCAATCAGCTCAAGCGCCGGCTGTAGGAGATCTGCTGTTGTCTTGGAGGTGGGTTGAAGGTATATTCGCAGTAGAGTTAAGAAGACATTAGAAGTATCGGACCCGGCAACGTAGGCTCGGATGCAATGTCTGTGTGAGAGTTGAGCACACTGCTCAAGCACATGCGCGCACAAGCTCACTGTTCTGCTTTCAGGAAATCCTGCAACCGGTACACATAGAGCTCCAGAGCCTGGTCGTGACGTCCGAATCTGCCCAGCAATATCGCGCGAGCCTCGAACAGATCTGCAGAACGTTAGCCACGGCTGATGTGTGACCCAGACCGAGAACACACCTTCAGAGGACAGGTGTGAATACAGCCTGTCTATTCTATACCGGTCGGTGGTTTCGATGAACTTGAGCAGCTTGTCGTAGTGTTGTGACCAGTCTTTCTCATTTCGCTTCCTGGCTGAGAGGGTAGTTTTCAAGTACAACTCTGCGAGCCGGTCATGGAATAGCGTCGATTCCTCTTGTCGTTCTTGGATCAAAAACTCCAGATAGCGGATACATAACTGCGGATCGATTCCCTCCAAATAATCTGCGACCGATGAGCGTGGCAGTTCGACATCTTCTGACGTGAATATCTTCACAAGCCGCTGAGTGAACGCCGAAATACGGAGGATGTAGTCAAGTTCACCTGGAAGGCCATAGAACGGTCTTGTTCGAACAACCATCGTCCTGATTCAAAGATCTCTTGCAAATGGTCGGGTCCTAGCTTCTGCAGATAAAGAATCGAGGGTGCGAGCTTGTCCTCCATATCAGTCTCCGGCTCGCTCAAGCTAGATCCTCGTCAGCGTGTCAGCATTGCGGGAGGAACAGACTTGCGTTCTTAGCAGTTCAAGCGCTTTCTTGTGCATTTTCTTCCCATTATACAAGTCACGCAACTCTGCATATTTCTAGAAGACGATATGAATTCAGTCTCACACCAACCACACTCGATCATGGATGCGCGCACCTTGCGAGCCATCAGCTCCTCTTCGACCTCAGCCACCTCGCACCAATTAGCAACACGACAGAGGGATCCCAATAACCCAGGCCTGATAACAAGATAGGATTTGAACAGAGCCGTGTCAACGATCTGCGCGAATCGCAGCAATTGTTCCGGAGTGAGCGCTGAAAGCGGTGCATTGGGTAGGGAGAACAGATCCTCCAATGACGTCTCTGACAACGGGGCGATCTCGTGCGACTGGTTCGCTGGAGTGATACCGACCGCAGCCAGAGCCGCAGCGACTTTGGGTCGTCGATCAGACAGATATCGTAGCAGAGTTTCAATAGATTTAGGCATGTTATCTGGCATATTCATCAGGGCCCTGAATCGACTCTTGACGCAACTGGGACTCTACCGTGCACAGCTTGCTTGGGCTTGTGCTTGGCTTTCTGATCCTCATCCTTCAGGGAAGGCAGAAACGCACCAAGCCCTTTCAATCGACCTCGAATAGTGCCTGATGCTGGAAGATTCACGCTTTCGATCCCTTCTGCCGGTTGTTCGTCTTTTGAGGCTGGAGATTGTTCCTCGATGCTCGGTGTCGATGGCGCCGAAGGCACTTCTTCGACCGGCGCGGCCGGCCCACCATACAAAGGAATCCAAGCATCTTGAGGGACGGACAGACGACCGGCGACGGTTTCTGGATATAAAGCGACCACTTTGGCAGGATTGATCTCCAGCTCGATCAATGTGTCGATCGCCTTGTCGAAATCTCCGCTTCGGAACTGAGATACAGCATTCAAGCCGCGGATTCGCTTCTTCACTTCATCCTATTGAGATTTGAGATTTTAGAGCAGGAGTGCACGACCGACAACTTGCCTTGTCGGGGACATCAATGAGATCTAGCAGCGCCAGGGCATCGGAGTATCGACCCTCGGAAACCATCTCGTCGATCTGCGCTGTCCATGATTTCATGTCCATTCGCCAGATTGTACTGCCTACGGCGGTAGCAGTAGTTCGATCCGTCGGAGTGGTCACTAGCCACAGTGGCGATTTCCCAGCTCGCGAAGGTGTTAACAGCCGGACAGTCGCATTCCCGTGCGTATTGGTCTTTGTGAATGGGAAGAAGACGGTTTGAGAGGGTTGCAAAGAGATTGAAGAACTGATCTGGATCGCTGTTGTGGGCGTTACAGGCTCGGACCCAGTCTTGGGGGATTGCGGGATTGCGCCTGAAGGAAGGACAGAGAAAACGTAGGGCTTCACATAGGCGATCTCTTCTGGAGGGGCGGGCCATTCCAATGGTCCAGAACGTGCCGGTGTTGCATCGGGTCCAATGAAGATACCCTCATCTATGGCATTGAACAAAAACGGAAAATCGACAAAAAAAGCCCACGGACTGTCTTTGAGAATCAGAACTTCGGTCTCGCTGATATGCAATGCCCCTGGCTTCGGCTTTGCTCCGAGACCCAGCGTCATGTACGACCCCAGACCAGAGAAAGCAGCCATACCCGTCACGGCAGCGACAGATGGAGTCGGTAGAGTGACGTCCGCAACACTCATTGCAGACAAGGAGAAGATCGCATATTCTGTAGGCGAATAACCGAAGCAGGCTGTATCCTTGTCCAAAAACGTAATCACACGCGCAGAGTGGGGCAGGGGAGCTTCCTAGCAGTTGTTGGATCTGGGGGAATATGGTTCTGCCATCGGATGAACTTGCCTTGGTCTCCTGGGCCTCGCCATCCTTCCATGTGTACACCACCACTTTCCTACGGCATCCCACAACGAGTTGAGTCACCAGTGTAGGAATGTTCGAGGCAGATGTCGATTCTCCCGTCGTAGCATCTGAAGTCAGGTGTTCAATTGATGTGTGAATGCCGAACGAGAATGCAGCTTTGGCTTTCAGTAGTGGAGTCGGCGGCGCCAGGGTAGGTAAAGGGTACAGTGTCACTGTCATCTCTACGACGGTCATCAGTGCAAGCACGAATAGATCAAGTCCCGAGGTACAGACCAGACAGGACAACCAGGGAGTTGATGTCCTTTATGAGGTCGAGCTGTTCGATGGCTCGTTTGGCAAGCCCTTTCTTGCTCTCGACTAGCGTCAATGGTTTCTCTGCTGCATCGTCTGACGATGACAGACGCGTAAGCCCAGGCAGTTTTCAAGAGGAGGGACGCATACTATCTTCGTCGATAGCGTAGATGTTTAGAGTTCCCGTCGCAGTCCCGACGTACAGCCGGTCCCCTGCGCATGCATTAACACGAATCACACATATGACGCAACGATTAGTTACCTTGAACGGTGAGACAGTCAATCTTCTCCTTGAAGCCAGTCAGTAAGGCCCTGGGCGGCTCGAATGGAGCCATATGTGCGTAGCCCTTTGAGGTCTGCTCGTCCGACGTGTGTGCGCGGGGTGGCCTAAATCGGCACGTGCTAGCGCCAGATCAGATGTCATTGATCGCCCGAATAGGAAGGTAATTTTTCTGCGACGACCACGCTCATGGCACCGACGAAATCGCCCAAAGGGCGGTCTTCCTCCTCCTCTATCTCCATCGCGAAGGTGAAAGGAGAGAACTTCTATCGCAATGCAAAGCAGGTCGCTCGTGCCAAGATGCTCACCGGAGGAAAAGCCGTCCGGGACAAGGACGGGAACATCGTCCAAGCTGCTGCGTTCCAGAAGGGAGAGGATGAGACGAAACCGGGACGAGTGCAACCTGACAGGAGGTGGTTTGGTGCGTCGGCTTGTGTTCATGTTGTATCCGGCGCCATCTAATTGCGACTGCAGGAAATACACGAGTGATCTCGCAAACAGCATTGGATCACTTCCGGACGAGCCTAGCGACGAAGAAGGACGATCCATACTCTGTTCTACTGCGACGAAACAAGCTTCCGATGGCTCTGCTCGATGACGCTGCTAATCCTAATCTCCGCAAGGTTTGCCCATCTCAACACATTTCGAACGACGTGAAGTAAATAATCCTTTAGCGCCCGCACATCGTAGAGGTGGAACCGTTTGGAGAGACGTTTGGACCCAAGGCTCAGCGAAAGCGACCACGCATCGACGCTGGCTCTTTTGATGAATTGAGCAAGCTAGGAGCCGCTGCTGCCGGAGAGGCTGCAGATGCTGCTCACGAGAAAGGGACAGGCACTGTCGGTACGCTCCCAAATTGAGTCATCGTTTCGGCCTATCATCTTATGCCTGATTCAGAGCGACTCGCTTCGTCGATCACTGAGCCTCAGCTGTACGCGGACTTTCACGAGCCCATTTACGCCAAGGGAACCTCGCGACGAATCTACGGAGAGCTGTACAAAGTCATCGATTCCTCTGACGTGATCCTACATATCCTCGATGCTCGGGATCCCCTGGGGACGATGTGTGAATCGGTACTGGAGTACATCAAGAAAGAGAAGAGCCATAAGCAGGTTGTGTTGGTCATCAACAAATGTGATCTAGTCCCGAATTGGGTCACCGTACGTTCCCTTCATGTGTGTGTTTCCGTTTTTCACGTCATCTAGGCGAGATACATCCAACATCTGACACCGCGTTACCCAACCATCGCTTTCCATGCTTCTCCGAATCACTCTTTCGGGAAAGGCTCGCTCATTCAACTTTTGCGGCAGTTTTCGCAACTGCATTCTGACAAGAAGCAGATCTCTGTTGGTTTTATGGGTTATCCCAACGTTGGAAAGAGCAGCGTCATCAACACAGTGAAGAGCGGGAAGGTTTGCCGTGTCGCACCTGTTCCCGGTGAAACCAAGGTAAATGGTATCCAATTATTCTGAAGGGACCATACTGAGGAGATTTTGAAGGTCTGGCAATATATTACACTCACTCGGCGGATATACCTCATCGACTGCCCTGGCATTGTGCCAACGTCGGCCCACGACACCGAGACCGCGACTGTGCTCAAGGGGGTGGTGCGAGTGGAGGCCCTGCCGACGCCATCAGACCACATTCCTGCCCTGATGACGCGCGTGAAGCCTGTCTACTTGTCTCGCACTTACGATGTTCCGTTACCTGAAGCCGGGGGGTCGTGGGAACCCGAGGAGTTCTTGGACAAACTGGCCAGAATGAAAGGCCGTCTCTTGAAGCACGGCGAACCAGATCTGGATGCAGTTGCAAAGATCGTGCTCTCTGATTGGGTACGAGGCAGAATCCCGTTCTTTGTGCCCCCGCCAGAGCGTTCCGACGAACTCAACGAGAGTGAGGCCAGGGAGCGGACAAGGCGCGAGAAGGGCAAGGCCAAAGCAGTCCAGTCGTCAGAGGTTCCTGGAGTCCGACAGAATCTGGGGACCATCATGCAGAAAAATACGTTCGTTGCAGAAGATGTGCAGCCTCTCCAAGATCAGTTCGTCGGCCCGGCAAGTGCGGAGGACGAGGTGCCTGAGGATGAGGCACCGGACGTCGAGGATGGTTCAGATGAGGATCAGGAGCTTACTTGGAATGATGTTTGGGAGGGGATCAAAGAGGAGGAGCCGGCGACCACGGTTGACGGTCTGTTTCGTTCATTGTTTATCGAGAGTGATGATTGACTTTCGCAGAAGCGGACGACGAACTTACACAAAAGAAAGAAGCTCGTGTCAAGACCAACAAGGTATTTTTCTTCCGTATAGCCAACGCGCGGCAATTAACCATCTTCACCGATAGAAAAAAGCCACCAACTTCTACAGCGACGCCAATGTGAAGAACAAAAATCGGTCCAAGGCCGCCTTATTGAAATCCCTTCCTCGTGGCAAACGGCCAGAGGCGCGTGGGCGGAAGAAAAATTGAAGGAGATAGCTGTAGTCCTCCTCCGATCGATTATGTGAACATGGAGTGGGAGATGAAATATGTCGCACAGTTCTGAACCACGATCCGAGGATTCCGAGCGATGTCTCTGTCAATGTCATGTAACATCCACGACGCATCTATGCTGTCACGCCTTTGCTTACACCACCAACTTGCTGAGCTTCCCTCATTTCTGTGAATCGTGTCCTCGATCGTTCAACGCGGCGGCGATAGCCTGCTGTAACGCGTTGTTTGTCGCTGGCATTCGCGGGATGGAATCAGGTGTACCCCTGGCGCTAGAAGATCAGAGCTGGACATCGTCATCGCTTACCCCAGAAACCACGAGTCGCGTCAAATCCTGAGTTTCAGAGCCTCCCAGCCGTGGCGTCTCAGCGACGGAGGCGAGATGGCTCGAATGCGGAGATGGTGCCAGTCGGACGTATGCTCCTGGCTCGTCCCTGTTCTTTTACAACTGGAACTCAGTCGCAGAACGAATCGCGCGAAGTCCGGCTTGCCACTTCCCTTCTTCCGCTCGTCGATCCACCTCTCGATTAGCTCCATACGTGCTGACGAAGCGAAGCACGGATGAGTAGGGAAAGGAAGAAGAACGCGCGCCGGTGGTGCATGCTGTTCGCGCGGGGATTTTCTGTTCCGGTCACTGTTCGGTGCTTTTGTTGTCCGGCCGTAACTCCGGGTTGAGGAGGGGGATTTGTCGCTGCTTTGTCGCCTGAGTTTGTTTCATCCTCTCGTACTGGGGCTACGATCCGATCGACGACTACTAGGCGTTCGACTTCTGCACGGTTAATCTGCCCCCAGCAGTCTTCCACTTCCAGGGACCAGAAACCGAATGCTTCGACGCCCGGATATTTTTAACTTCCGTTTGATGTCTTTGCTCCTTCGTATGTTTCCTGGTCGGCTTTCTGGAACTGGGCCGGAACAGCGGCTCCTACTTGGACAATGCAACTTGAAGCAGGGGCAGGGCATTTGAGGGAATCGGCTTTCTGCAGATTTGGGGCTGTGGGAAAGCCTGAGTGCCCGAGAGTATCGCAGCGATTGAATCCGTCCATCGCGTTGAAATGAACGGAGACCAACGGGGACGGCAGCCATGGTTCTCTTCAAGCTACGATCTTCCGATGGATGGCATGAAGGCTTTGACTTGCTTTCGTTCAAACATGGCAAGGGGTGACCCTCTCCTGGGACGAGAAGTTTGAAACGAAGGTGAATGTCGGTACGCAGTGTTGAAGGAACCGCGAGGATCCCCCTTTGTGGCTGTTTTAACGCAAGACCCGGCGGCCAATTGTGCTCAACGGCCGCAGAGAGGCGAGGAACCATCACCTCGAGTCGACCGGGAGAGTAATCCTACGAAAGTTTCCTTGTATGTGGGTGCCTTGCTTCGAATCCGATCTGATGATGCTCGTAGCTTCTAGTCTGTGTGCGAGGATTCACTGGATTAACTTCCTTGTCTTGTTGCAAGCATGCGGTCCAGACCTGCCAAGTCGGGACGACAGGCGGCGCATTTCGCTTGCCATCTTGAGCTTCCCGGCGAAACGACGCGGGTATTTAATACAATCCAAACACGCTCTCTTGGCTCCTGTGCACTTTCTTCTCCCTCTTCGCCATGAACGCACAGTCGTCCGCTGCCATCATCGAGGACGACGGGAAGAGACCAAGCACAGAGATCTCCAACCCTTCCCATGATGTCGAAAAAGGCGCCCTCGAATCAGACGGAAGCAGAGACACCCACAATCGCTTGTCGGGGGTGGCGATGTCGACACTCGAGGCCGCTGCCCTACCCGAGTTTGATGATCCGAATCTCGATAAGGACGCGGCTTTGGTAGGGATGCTAGAGGATGATTCGCCCTACCCTGAAGTGCGCTCCGCGGTAGCGAATACTGGTTTGGCGCTCGGTCGTTCCCGCTGTCCCTGCTTGCTCATCTGGACTTAGACGATCCCACGATCCCTGTTTCGACCCTTCGCGCTTGGACGCTCGGTCTTATATGGGCCATCATCCTCCCTGGGCTGAACCAGTTCTTCTTCTTCCGCTATCCGGCAGTCACTGTAACCAGCGTGCGTGTTCATTCTACCCGCCCCAGAGATCCTTAGTCAACTCGCTATACAGATAGTGGCTCAGCTACTGACGTTTCCTCTCGGTCGCGCATGGGCTCATCTCGTCCCGCGTCTTTCCGTTCTCGGTATCGAGCTGAATCCGGGTCCCTTCTCGATCAAGGAGCATGTTCTCATCACTATAATGGCCGGCGTCGGTGCTGGATCCGCATACGCCACTGATATCATCGCTGTGCAAAGGGTGTTCTACCACCAACGGTACCCGTTCATCTATCAGTGGATGGTGGTCATGAGCACCCAGCTCATCGGCTTCTCGATCGGGGGCATCGCTCGCCGATTCCTCGTCCAGCCGCCGAGCATGATCTGGCCCTACAATCTGGTCACATGCGCTCTGTTCAACACGCTTCATGCTCAGCAGTACGCTGGGGTTGGGTCGCGCGGTGGGTTTTCGCGAGAGAAGTTCTTTTATTTGGCGTTCATCGCGAGCACCGTGTGGTACGTTGTGCCAGGTGAGGCCCATTCTCTTGCCCGTCCGGAGGTGCAAGAGTTAAACAACCTTGTTCTAGGCTATCTCTTCACTGCACTATCCTTCTTCTCGTGGGTCTGCTGGATATTCCCGAAGAACATCGTCGTGAACCAGCTGTTTGGGGTCAACTACGGTCTGGCCATGGGGATGGTCACTTTCGATTGGGCACAGATTACGTTAGTCTCTTGTTAGGACTGCTTCCCTAGTCCACGTTTTTGACCGTTCCAGGTACATCGGCTCCCCGCTGGCGACTCCATGGTGGGCCGAAGCGAACATTGCAGCCGGTTTTGTCTTCTTTTTCTGGATCCTGGCTCCAGCGTTATATGTGAGTATTCTCCGACACCAGACCTCGTAGCAAGGACTGATCACAAAGCTAGTTCACGAATACGTGGTATTCCAAGTTCATGCCTATCTCGTCCGGCGGATCTTTCGACAACACGGGCGCGCCGTACAATGTTTCTCGAATCTTGAACGCACACGGTGTACGTCATCTCTATATCGTGTCTCGGTCGCTCATCGATCGCGCATCACCGCAGACATTTGACGAGGTCAAGTACCAAGCTTACAGCCCCATCTTCCTGAGCACGACCTTCGCGATCTCTTACGGCTTGTCCTTTGCGAGTATCACCGCCACGATCACACACGCGTTCCTCTTCTTCCGAAAGCAAATCTGGACTCAATCCCGCCGGGCGATGCACGAGGAGCCGGACATTCACGCTCGTTTGATGGCTGTGTATCCTCAGGTCCCCGAGTGGTGGTATGCCATTATCTTTGGTAAGCACCTACTTCGGAGATTTGTCCTGCGATCGCTTACCATCCACCGTTATGTAGCGACAATGTTCGTGTTTGGGATTGTCGCAATCCAAGTGTGGGATACCAAGTTCCCCGTGCAGTTTTTCATTCTGGCGCTCTTCATCTGCAAGTCGTTCCCTTCGATCTCGTGACTGTTGCTGAGAAGTGCTCCAGCGTTCTTCTATGTGATTCCAATTGGCATGATTCAGGCAATTGAGATTTTTCTGCTCACGAATAGTCCCTTAACGCTTCACAGGCCATTACGAATCAACAAGTGGGCTTGAATGTGATCACCGAGCTGATTATCGGGTACGTACCCAGATATTAAGCCAGGTTCTTACTCATAGCGGTTGTCAGATATGCATTGCCCGGCCGTCCTGTTGCGATGATGATGTTCAAGACATGGGGCTACATCACTATGGCGCAGGCCTTGCAGGTGCATTTCCTTCATTCTGGCGCTCATCGTCCGAGCTGGCCCGCTGACATCGCTGAAGTTCACATCGGACTTCAAACTGGGACACTACATGAAGATTCCGCCCCGGACGATGTTCCACGCGCAGGTCGTGGCCACGATCCTCGCTGGCACGGTGCAGCTCGGCGTCCAAGCGTGGATGTTCACAAACATCGAGGGCATGTGCGAGCGATCGCAGAGAGACGGGTTCTGGTGCCCCAGCACGGTTGTGTTTGGAACGGCGAGCATCATCTGGGGCGTAATCGGTCCTGCAAGACAATGTACGTGGTTCAAACACAGTACGAGGATTTCCCACCCTGACTAAACCAATTGCAGTCTCATCTGGCCAAATCTATTACGCTCTCACGTTCTTCTTCCTGATTGGATTTCTCTGCCCGCTCATCGCGTGGCTGTGCACCCTGCGTTGGCCGAATAGCTGGCTGCGATACCTCAACTTCCCGGTCATCTTCTCGGGTACCGGGCTCATTCCCCCTGCGAACTCGAATAACTACGTCCCCTGGGCCATCGTCGGGTTCCTCTTCCAGTACGTCATCCGCAGGCGGCATTTCTCGTGGTGGACCAAATACAATTGTGCGTTGCCCATCTTTCTCTGTCTCTTCATGATTTTCCTCACCCGTTGGATGCAGATGTGCTTTCCGCTGCGCTGGACTCGGGCGTCGCTGTCTCTGCCGTCCTGATTTTCTTCATTCTGCAATATCCTCGCAACGGGACCATCGGGCAGTCGACGATCCAGCAGTGGTGGGGCAACACAGTCTGGCTCAACACGGCGGACGGCGAGAAAACGCCGATGATCAGTCTCGCGCCTGGCGAGAGGTTCGGACCGAGTCATTGGTAGTGCTCGTCGTCAATTGTATATTCATATATAGTCTTGTATATATGTACTCCGCAGCTTGGTCTATATCGCATCCTGATACGTCTTGGTGGCCTTGATCCACTCCACAAGTCCGGCTCGCTGCACCAGTGCGCCATTGTCTCCCTCTTCTGCTTGGATCTTGGCCCGCACGCCATCTACGATGTTCCACCTCTGCTGTTTCACCCGAACTTGCCCGTCTTCAAGCTCTTGGGCTCCAAGGATGATCGCAAATGGAACCTCATCCTGCTCGCCAGCAGCAAATTGTGCGGTCAGCTTGGGCTTCTTCTTGGCTAGGAAGTCGGCCTGTCAATGATTAAGTTGGCCGCAAAAAGGAATGTAGGGGTCTCTGGACACACCTTGATTCCTCCTTCGCGCAACTCTCGAACGAGCCTGATTCGTTCCTCGAGAAGCCCATCGCCGGCAGCCATGACGTACACCATCGTGTCCTTGCATCGCCCGGTCTGCAGTTTCCACTTGGGCCACACGATGGCAAAGATGCGGTCAAGCCCAAAGCTCACGCCAATGCAAGGTAGGCTGACGGCCTTCTTCCCATCGGCAGCCGCTGCTGCAGTGAACATGTTCACGAGATTGTCGTACCGCCCCCCGGCAGCGATGGATCCCACCCCGACAGTCGACTCGTCGATCTCCTCCTCTTCGCCATCCGCCTTGGGCTTCTTGCTCTTCTTCTTCGGGGCGTCAGCGCCTTCGGTCTGGAATCCCGGAGGAGCAGACGCCTCGACCACGGCCTCGTAGATGATCCCAGTGTAATAATCCAGGCCACGCGCGAGTGACAGATCGAAAGAGAGCTTAGAGAACGTCAATCGCCTGTGCAGAAGATACAGAGCAAACTACCTTGTCAGTAACACCGTACACGCCAAGGTAAGTGAAAAGTAGCGCCATTTCGGAGACTCCCTGTTTGGCACTGGCATTGGCCAGCAGAGTGGAGTCGGCCTCGAGTGTCTTCAACAGTTCGGGACCACCTGGAAACAAATTCGACACGTAATCAAATGTGACATAGAGACGAAAGCGTACCTTTCAGTTTAACGTATTCCCCAATCTTATCCGCCACGACGGGATCCAGCCCTTTCTCTTCCGTCATCTCCTTCTTCACCTCAATCCATGGCATCTGTGAAACTTCAGTGGGTATTCCTGGGCAGGTCGTCGCGTCCGCACCTTGTCCAGTTTATCGACAGCAGAGGATATAGAGCGAATCTTATCTGTCGGCACGCCACAGACCTCGAATATCCCATCTAATATTTTACGGTGATTGATCTACGCTCCGTTCAATAACCGCAGCCCTATTCCCGCTCACACTCACTTTGATTGTGAATTCTCCAACATCGAGTTTGGAGAGCACCGTGCACAATAGACTGACGATCTCGCAGTCCGGGATCATCGTGTCCCATGTACCAGAGATGTCAAAATCCTGCAGCCGATAAGAGCAAATAGAGGGATGATTCTGAGAGAGCGACCCACAGCCTGAGAAAACTCCCGCATTCTGCCCTTGGACACGACCGGGTTGTCGCGCCTGTAGACCTTGCCTACTTGCCATAACTTGGATTGCGTGTTCGTGGCGCCCGACATCGCGAGATACCTTGCCAGCGGTACCGTGTGGTCGTAACGCAACGCAAGCTGCTCGCCGCCCTGGTCCATGAGATCAAAGATGAGCTTCGCGTCCTCTCCGTATTTGCCAGTCAAGATATCCTTGCGCTCGAACACGGGCGTGTCGAGACACGCGCCGCCAAAGGCGGAGAAGCAGTCTTTCACCGTCCGCTCGATGCGTTCCCGGCAGGCCATCTCCGCCGGTCCAAAGTCGCGTGTGCCCTACATTCGAGCCTGAATTGAGTGTTATTGCGAGTGTGTGAGAAAGGGCGGGGGCGCCCGGCACCTTGGCCGTTTTCAGGAGCAGACGTTCCCGTTTCTTCGCCGCGTCTTTGCTGCCCCCTGCATCCGCGCCCTTGGACATCGCCAGCGATTTCTTCAGCTCGCCCAGTTTCTTCTTGGCTTCTTCGAGTGCGGGCACATCGTTCTGGAGGCGCAGCTGGTTCAGGAGGACAGTCTGCGCAGTGATCTGTTCGTTGAGGGATTCGAGTGAGGCCATCGAGAAAAGCCGCCGATGATAGCGAAGGAGAGTTAATCGATGGATTCTACAACTGTAGAGCGACATGTAATTTGCCCCAAGATGCGTGTGACTCGGCTGAGCTCGTGACGAACGCGATCATGTGATCATTTCATGACGCGAACTGAGTGAGAAAAAAACCGCGGGCGAGGGCAGGCCTGGTCCCAATTCCCCGTAGTAAACATGTGAGGCTCGCTGAGGCCCTTTATTAAAAAATTGTACCACCTAGCGCGACCCAGTCACTGTGACGGGTGGGTTTATGAATCCTTAATCTGGTTCGCGATCGAGATTCGAGAAGCTGGTCATTCCATGTTTCGCCTGCCGAAATGAAGCCTCTATCTGCTTTGGGAGACGCGTGGGAAGAAGAAACGACCAACTCATCCCAGCGTGATTGCTTAGGGACACCGCGAAATGTTCTGTCCCCATTCCCGACTGATACCGAAGATGCGGAGACACTGATCGTTAACACTCAGTTGTAGTTGAGTTCCATTCCGATTCCAAATTCTCTAGTGGTTTCTCTATTCCTGATTGTTCTGGGGCTGCTGTAATATGGCTCTGAATCACCTAGATTACGTCCATTTATCTTTTGAAAACAACCACCAGGCCATCAACTTGCACTACTTTCTTTTCATACGCCAAGGGCCGCACATATCTATTGTTTTTGTTAATCAAAAAGACCAATAGCCAGACTGATGCTAACTCATTTTTTTCGGTTGAACATAGCATAGCTAGTGCACTTGTTAGAGTCATCAATAAAGGGAAGACCTCTCCTTGCTACCATTACTGTGGAATTATTGACACTGGCACTTACCTTGCATCAAACCATTATTGATCGGTGATACTAGAGTGCCATCAGAGAATTCGATGTCGCGCAGATTCCGAGCTTCCACGGTCTAGCAGGTCGGACCACACAAGGTTCCTCCTATATGCATCATCTCTGCGGAAACTCTGCTCAATCGTGCTCGACGTTTGTGGGCGCCGAGCGGTCCGGACAGAACTGATTGCCGACTGGTGGCGATCACACGTGTTATTTTGGTACTTATCCTTCCCCACTGCACCGTTCCTACCGGCTCGGAACGCTCTTGCTCACTACAACCATGGCCCATTCGAAACCATTGACATTGGCTCGCCTGAACGACTCAGTCCTGGGCGTCTGGGGCCTCGCACCGCCGTCTAAACACCTCGATCATCTGCTGCGCATGCTTTCGACCTGGAGCGGGACCGAGTTGCGTACCCTGCTATACATATCTGCTGCCTAAACACGAATTTATGTCATTCATGTGCAGCAAGTTCTTCACAGTGCGTATCGGCGTGGCTGCGCCCGTGTCTTGGCTGAGATAATGCGAGCAGTTGGTGCAAGCTTTATGCAAGATCATCGTCCCATTGCTGCATCTGCGAGCCCGAATCCAATACCGGGCGGGGTTCAGGAAAGAGCCAACGAGCTTCGCCGCCGAGGGATTCAAAAAGTTCGCGGGGATGGTGGGCGACTCGCAGACGCTGGGACGTTTCTGGGGTACGTTCACCTCCACACCCCCTGCCTACTGCTACCCACGCTCGATCTAAGGTCTGCTCCAAATATTCCAATGGCTCATCTCGCTTGAGCGAACACCACAACCAACGCGAAATCTACTGACGATCGAGCGGCTTCAAGGCTGGTCCATGCTCGGATACTATCCGCTCGAGCATCTCAGTCATCTGCGATCTCACGACATCCTCCCACCCTCCATCTCCATTCCCGTTCCAGTCGCTGAAAAGCCCAAACAACTTGAGCTCGACGCTGGCGCGCTGTCCCGCGCTTCATGTCGTTTCTGGGCGGCCTATGTCGTGCTTCAATTCGCACACCTCCGGGAGGACCGGAAACTACTCCAATTGCAGCAACGCGCTCTCAAAAAGAGCAAGGTCGGGGGTAAGATCAGTGACGCAGAAAAAGCGGAGTTCGCTCGGCGCTGGGACGCTTATTGGAGCGGGCTGCTGACGAATATCTGCAATTTGCCCATTGCGCTGCACTGGTGTGTTTCAAGCGCACTCTGAGAGAGGCCACGGGCTCACAGCTTATCAGGTCAGTCACGGGAGGGATTATCAAGAACTCGGTACGCGTCTGGCGGTCATCTCGTGGCATAGCAACTGAATTTCTATCAGCTTGTTGTGGATATTCTCTCCCTCCTAGCGGCCGTTCTATCATTCCGCAGTGGATGGCGCGCTACTGCGCTGCTAGATCCCGAAGAGGAATCGGACAATCACGCAGGACCTCCTGTTGACGAGAAGCAATGATGTCATTATCTATGTCGATGTTGATTGTATCAACGTTGTGTCGCTCATTTGGTTCTGGATCCGCCTCAGACTACGTTCACGACCGAGAATGATAAGCAAATCAAGAACAGGAGGCCCGTCCTATAGGGCGTGAGTAGGTGAACAAATCATGAAACTGGAAACCGACTTTGGTGGCTGTCAACGCGTGCCGGATGACTGGCAAGAATGTGGGTATATTCAAGCGCAACTTTTCTTCGCTGAGGCAGTGATGCAACTCCTCTGCAGTCCATGAGTCCAAAAGCTCAAGTGCTTGAGCAACTGAAGTAAGGATACGATCTGAGATCACGATTATATGGATGATAGAAGCAACAGACAAAGTGACATACCTTGTTGTTCAGGTGTGACCCGCCGAAGCATTTTGCGGGCTTCATCGTTCTCATATTCGGGCTCGAGGAACAGATAAGGTGCCAGCGAGACCATGTCGTGGATATTCACAAGGCGGCTCTGAGAAGTAGTGAGTGAGTAAGGTCACCGCACACACTTCGAAGACCCACGTCGAGCATGCGAATGACAGACTGGATGTATTGGGGGGTGGTATATTCCTCGCTGAAAGCTGGCTGAACGCAACGATTGATGTGTGGCGAAATGAAGTCACCTAATTTGACCGAGAGGCAAGTTGTCGACCATCCAACGCCTCACGTTCAGTGCTACATCAGTAAGGCCCTCCGGTGATGCAGCCTTGAGTAACAGATGCTGTCTGTTCAGAAACGCCAATTTTCCAGGATCGAGGGAGGATGAACGGTGTGTCAGTGCAGAAAGTTCAAACTGGACGATCGTGAACATAAACACCCGTATTTCAGATGGCCCATACCTCGGCCTGCAACTGGTCCATGTTCATGACTTGGGTGCTCAAGGGTGCGTCTTTTGCCTGATGCGCGTCTTCAGGCTGGACTGCCTCGTCATGCTGACCTCCCCACCCGGGCAAAGCCAGCCAGTTCAACACGGCATCCTTTTCCCATCCTCGCCGCTATGTCAATATGAACATCATGTGATACATGCCGGGTTCGCAGAGCTCACTATGTAGTCCTCGACCTTGACGTCACCGTGTCGCTTGCTCATCTTGGTGCCGTCAGGGTTGAGCAGGATGGGAATGTGCGCATATTGGGGAGGCTCCAAACCAAGCGCAGAGTAGATGTCCAGATGCAACGGAAGAGAAGTCATCCATTCCTGTGAGACGGTCAAGCGATAGACCAGCAGAAGAAGCACAAGCAAACATACCTCGCCGCGCAAAACGTGAGTGATGGTCATTTCATGGTCATCGACGACATTTGCCAGGTGGTAGGTGGGATAGCCATCGCTTTTGAGCAGGATTGGATCCGTGGCGAGTGAACCGTGCGCGTCTTTCAGGTGTCCAAACACCAAGTCAGTCATCGGCCGTCGTGGAGTAACAGCCCCAGTCTGTCTCCCGTTGAGCTCACGCTTAGACAGAGACAGGGTGGACATACATTAAACCGAATGATACTTCGCTCGCCAGCCCGGACACGACGTGCGACTTCCTCCTCCGTGAGATGCAAGCATCGCTTGTCGTACGACTGGTTAGATCCAGCTCTTGCAAACTTTTCTCGCATTTGAGAAAGGGTGTCGACCGAACAGAAACAGCGGTAGGCGTGTCCGGACTACCCTCATCAACCCTGGGCCAGATTCAAGAAGTCACTGAGCGCACGGAGAGTAGTTTTGTGGCATATGCGTTGTAGAGGTCGAGACGTTCGGACTGGAAGAATGAGCGCGAAAGTTGGCAAGCGCGATAGGTGTTACCTGGTGGTATGGGCCATGAGGACCTGCTCTGTCGGGACCTGTCGTGTGTGCTGCTCAGGGTCGGCCAAACGACGGGAACGCATGTAGCTATACCGTAGTCGTATTCAAGCCCCGCCCACTGAAGCGCGCTTTGTATGCCCTTGACTGAACCCGGGACGAAACGGGTCTATGAAGAGATGTTCGGCGCAAAGCTCATTCCACTGACCGGACGTACCGAGTCTGTGTCCTCGATTCGGAGTATCCACTTCCCTCCCAACTTTTTGGCGTGCAGGTGATTGAACAGGGCCATACGTAAGCCTCCCAGGTGCAAAGCACCGGTAGGTGAAGGGGCAAATCGCAACAACGCCATGATCGGTGAAGCGCCCACTATATGAGAGCTATGGACGCGTCAAAAGATTCGCGGCAAATGTTCAGATTGATTCGACGCGTTTTGCCTCCCGAGGTTGTCCAACAATGGATATTTCCAGGCGAGGAGACGATGGATGAGAGAGTGGAACACTCAAGTTAGTGCCACACTGGGGCCGTCAGTGCGGTCCGAAATTGATCACATCAAGATGGAGGCGGCCATTCCTTCGATGTTTCCAAAGCACTCAAATCCCCATCTACTGCAGTTATCGGTCGAGCCAGTGTCTCGCTCAAATCTCTTTGACACAGCTTCCGCTGTGCAACCAGAGACAGATGACTTGCAGGAGACGTTGGATCGATTCGTAGAAACAAGTATCGAACTCATCCCAACGGAGCGACCCAAGAAGAGGCGAAAACTAGAGCCTCCGGCGAGGGAGGAGACCTCAGTCGGTAGGCATGCTACCCTTTGAGCTTAAGAAAGAAGTTGACTGTCCCAGAATTCCGTCTGTTATCGACCTGCAACGCGATCTCACTCCTTCCCAAGACCCTTCCACCTACGCTGTCAGCTTTGCCCCCTCCACCACAACGCGTCAATTAGCTCATAACATTCAGTATACGAGAACCAGATTGTGAAGACACCCCGGCCGCTGCAGAAACGCGTCGACTGAGGGCGGCAGCGGTGTCTGTGGACGGCGAACAAGTCAGATCAAACTCGTTAACATTTCCAGCGGTGCGCACATTTCATATCTATCACGACACAAACATTACACGTTACTGTGCCAGCCATACCGGAAGGGTCGTACACTCTGCTTACAGACTCAAGATACGGGAGTAGCCGCTCCCCTCGCGGTCTTGCAACGCCAACAGGACTTTCGACGAACCCGTCCACCTGTTCCTCGATCTCTGCTCCAATCTTCTCCATACACACATTCCGTATCTCCAGTCCCCTCATCCAGTATTGGACTCGTCCCGACCATCGAGGTCCGAGTCGATGAGCCCGTGACAAAACATCCATCGAGGCAAAATCGCAGAAGACATCGGGGGAAACCGAGAGTTCAACCGATGCAGCCGTCATTCTGGTGGCCGGGTCCAGGCGTAAAAGGCAAATGCATGGGGTATGCTATGGGTTACTAGCCGAAGCAGGCCGTCTTGCAGTTCAAAGAGTACAATGAGATCTAGTGGGACATTGTTTTGTGGAAGTGTGGCGTGGACAAACCTTCTTCCCGATTAGGAAGGCCCGGCCTCTCGGCCAACAGCCATGTGATTGATGGATATGATGGATCTAGATAAGACTTTGTAAACATTTTAGGGTATCTAATCGTACGCGCGTATGATCATACCCCGAGGTGCATTGGTATAGAACGCGGCGCGTCTTGACAACGGTGCCCGTCTTGTTGCTCCAAGTCTGGGACCATCGATTCCCGAGGTCTGCGCAAGCTGCCTCGTCCAACTTCTCGTTCTCCAGGATGTCCATTGCGAGCGCTTGGTCAATGGGGTCCTTGTCATCGAAAATGTGGTCCACAAGAGATGATTCCCCCGGAGATCGATCATGCAACGCGTAAAGTTCGTTTATCCTCTTTCTCTGGTTGTCATTAAGGTCGAGTTGATTTAGCAGCACCTTAGAATTGAGGCTGAGCGGGTTGAGACCGCCCTTCGCAGTCTTAGGGGCTCCGGATTTGGCGCGCAAGAGCTTTGGCGCGCCAGCAGAGGGCGCATCAGCCAGGGTGTGGATGGAGAACGTCGAGAACGACATTAGGGATTGGTGGAGGATGGTATAAGCAATGGGCGCATATATTGTGTAAACTACGGTCTATTGTTACCCTAAAATGGCAATCATCATCACTCGCATCAACCTCGCATCAAATGCCGGACATGCCGATGACATTTCCCCTTTGGGAGGTTTGTCCAGGCCCCAATTCCTTGTTTTGTTTGTAGCAAATCAAAGATCGAACTGACGCGTACGATTGACCCTTGCCTCTGTACGCGTCTAGAATGTTTACCTCAACACCCCCACCGCAAGGCGTGTACAGTATACCGTCCATTCCGCGCCTGCCATCGCCCTCTGGCTCCCGCAATCGCTCATCGCTGGGCTCATTTTCCTTTGGGCCCGAGCAGCTGGTGGACTCGTATCTGGATGCCGACTCATCAACCGCATCCCATCCCAACTCCTTTGCGCTCGATCCGAATCGCTCCGTTCTACCTGCGTCGCCACTGCGCTCCTCCCCACGCCGCCCGAAAAAAGCGCGAGACACGTCCAGCCGCCACCCGCACCCGCTCGCGAATGACACCACGGACATATTCAACGATTCGGACGAGGACGAGGACGATGAGGACTACGAGTGGAAGATGGTGGACCGGATGCGACTTTGGAGACACGACGCGTTGATGCAGCATTTGCATGAAACGGCCGCATTCTGGGGCGACAAGATCGTCAGCTGGACAAGTGCGTCGCGTCTCGAGATCCATTGCCTTCTGTTGAAACGATGCACCTCTCAGATGACCCGAATGATGCCTTTTGGCTAGCCCAAACGTACTTCATGATGCATCAGTATTCGCGCGCTGAACGCCTTCTCACTCGTCCGTTCCCGACTGCTGCTCCGGACACTCGGAATACGCTTCCTATATCGCCAACGAACGGGCACTTGTCACTGAAGGGCAAGGAGCGCGATTTGCCTTTCCCTCCAAGATTACCTATGGGGCCAGGTGGACTGCTGGAGATCCCCGAAGAATCTCAGAGCAAGATCTCGCGGCTGGTGGATATGAGTGTGGCTTGTCGATATCTAGCCGCGCAGTGTCATGTGCGCCAGGGTAACTGGGAAGGTGCCACAGAAATGTTGGGAGAAGCCAATCCATTCCGCAACTCCGGTGAGTCCAGATGGTTGCATTCAGGTGGACGACATTGAACACGCCTAGGACGCAGCGGGCCTGCAGTTCCTAATCAAGATGGTGGAATTAAGGTGAAATCTAATATGATACATTTCTTGTTGGTGCTAAAAACACAAGATTGAGGCTTCCATGTGCCATCTGAGAGGCATTCTGATGCTGAAATTGAACCGGGGTGACCAGGCAAAGCAATGTTTCATGGAGGCTTTGGCCTTGGACGTCAAGTGTTTCGAGTCCTTGGAACAGCTTATCAACGGGGAAATGATGACGCCCGACGAAGGTACAAGTCGCCGTGCGTTCATCTGAGCGTTGCCCTGACCGCGCAGCATAGAGTGGGAGTTTGTGCAGTCTCTGGCTTACTCAAAACAAACACCCCAAGATGCCGCCTTTGTGCAACTGATATACACGGCAAGATTGCGCAAGTACAAGCATGTTGCAGAGCATGCTCTCACAAGACAACGTCTTGTCGAAGAGTTTGGACTGGGGGATAACCCCGATGTTCTGTTCAGTTTTGCAGATGCGTTGTATGCGCAGTTCAGATGGGCCGACTGTTTCGCAATCACCACCAGGTAAATAACACGAGCCACGACCTCGCTTGATTGATGTCTTTTCTCCAGAATACTGGGCTTGGTAGCAATACACTCAAAGACGATGCCGATCCATATCGCCTGCATGTACCATCTATCTCATCTGCACTCGAAGCTGTTCATCTTGGCCCACGAAATGGTCGAACAGGAGCCTGAAAATGCTCTCAGCTGGTATGCCGTCGGTGTCTGGTATCTCAGTGCGAACAAATGGGCCGAGGCGCGCCAATATTTCAGGTTCGCACATTGTCAGTGTGCTCTGTCTGGATTATGACCAATTTCATAGCAAGACGTCGCTGATGGACCCAAGATTTGCCGCTGCGTGGATCGCATTCGCTCACACTTTTGCATTGGAAGGGGAGCATGATCACGCCGTGACGGCATATTCGACTTGCGCGAGGATGTTCACGGGGTCTCATCTCCCACTGATGTTCGTCGGGATGGAGAACATCATGCTGTCCAACTATCGGCAAGCGGATGAAGCTCTGAAAGCTGCTGACACTATGTGTGATGGCGATCCTCTGCTTGTCAATGAACTGGGCGTGATGGCTTACAATCATGGAGAGTGCGTGTTTTCACCGCCCCTCTAGGAATGTACTGGATGTCTGTGAAGTTTCGATGAAGCGGCGAAGCTCTTCCAAAAAGCACTTGATCTAGCCCAGATCACTCAAGGATCACAAAAGACCTGGGGAATCACCTACCTCAATCTGGGCACATGTCATCGAAAATCCAAGTGTGTAACCATTCTGTATTTCAGCCGCGCCTCACCTTTTCCTCCAGGCGATACGAAGAAGCCCGCATCGCCTACCAAAAGGTTCTTGACTTGGAGCCTCGAAATGCGGCTGCACTCGGCTTTCTGGGAATCATCTATCACCTGACAAACGACCTGGACAAAGCGATCTTGAAATATCACGAGGTCTTTCTCAACTCAGCTCTGACTGGAAGAACGCTCATGTGTTTTCCAGACTCTCAGCATCAATCAATTGAATCCACATATCATGGAACTCCTCCAACTGGCTCTGGAGCAGACATCCTCTGATGTCCCCAGTATAGACGAGTTCAAGGAGGTCGTGATGAATTTGCGCGACAAATATCAACGACATAACAAAAACAGTAAGGGGAAGCAGCGAGACGGTGGCCTGCCCCGATCCGCCCCATCCAATGACATGAACATTGGCTGAATGTACATCGGGATCGACATGTGCTCAGTGTCCCGGGTTAGGGTTACATGTCTGTTGATAGTTATGTACAGATCAATTCAAAATTTCTGAAGCGCATCTTCCGGTTCTCTTGCGCGCACGCCTTGCTGTTCCTCCTCTAGCATGCCAGACGCAGCGGTCTCCATCAAAGCAGAGAAGAAGGCGAAACGGAAATCTATCACCACCCCATCCGATGAGCCCTCTACCTCGAAAGTGGCGATATCGGCGGAGGCAAAACCCAAGAAGAAAGATGCTGGGGTAGAGGACACGCCTGCAAAGAAGTCGAAGAAGAAGAAAGATCCTACGTCGACGGCAGAGGATGCCCCAGCAGAGCTCCCCCAGGTCGCGACCGAGCAGTCGTCGAAGAAACGGAAGAAGGAAACGGCTGCATCCTCCATCGCCGAACCGGACCCTGCTGTTGACGATACGCCTCATCCCGCGAAAAAGCAGAAAAAGGCGAAAGTTGATACGCCTGCGATCGGAGCAGTACCGGAAGCCGAGGCACCGAAACCAGCAAAAAAAGCCAAGAAGTCGAAGAAGGCCGACATCGACACCGACACCTTACCACCCGTGACTGCTGAACCGTCTACTGCTGTGCCTCCTATCGAGACCATCAAGGAGAAGAAGACGAAGAAGACGAAAGCCGCGTCTGCATCGGAACCGGAGCCCGCCGTCTCGGTGTTGCCACCTGAAACCGCTGTGTCTACTGTCGCACAAGCTGACCCTCCCGTCGAAGATGCACCTCAGCCCTCGAAAAAACAGAAAAAGTCCAAGACCGCTACAGCTGACGCGCCCGCGGCTGCAACGGTGCCAGAGGCCGAACCCGCGAAAAAAGCCAACAAGTCGAAGAAGGCTGGCACCGGCATCGCTACCCTACTACCTGTGGCTGCGGAACCCTCTGTTGCGGAACCTGCTGCCGACGTGCCGAAAGAGAAGAAGACGAAGAAGACAAAAACTGTGCCCGCATCGGAACTGGAAACCGCCGTTTCGGTGTCGGCACCTGCACCTGCGAGTGCGTCGTCGAAAAAGCGGAAGCGGGCAGCGGAGGTCGATGCGGATGCTCCCGAGGAGGTTTCTTCGAAGATACCAACGACTGCGACTCCTGCCCCTGCTCCGGAAACCGACGCGTCCTCCAAAAAAGCATCCAAGAAGCAGAAGAAAGCTGCCGCTGCCTCGACAGACGCCATCGTTGCGCCTATTTCTGTAGAGGAGTCTCCCAAGGTTGGCAAGAAGGCAAAGAAGGTGGCCGCTGCACCTGAACCTGTCGTGGAATCCAAGGAAGAGGACAAGGTGAAGGTGGCGAAGAAGGCGAAGGTGGCCGCCGAGCCAACGGTGGTCGTTGGGCCCAATTTGACTGTCGAGCCGAAGAAAGCCGTCGAGCCGGTGCTCAAGTCGAAGAAAGCAGATGAATCCACGCCAAAGTCGAAAAAGGCGGAGCAGCCTGCGCCCCCGGTTGAGTCTACCCCGTCGAAGAAGAGCAAGCCTATCGTCGTGGCCCCTGACCTGGACGAAGCAGCGGATGAAGACTCATCTGACGACGAGGACTACGCTCCCATCGAAGGGTTCTCTACGGACGAGGATTCGTCCGACGACGACGCAGACATGGACGTAGATGAAACACCGGTCGATCTCGGTAAGCTACCGACGATCGCCAAAGACGATGCTACTGTGAAGCGCAAGCTCGAGAAAGCTAAGAGGCAGCCGGTCAGTTCATCCCTCACTAGCCATCCCTCCTGTCTCTGACGAACATCGCAGACTACTGACCGTGGTGTTCTATACCTCAGTCGTCTTCCACACGGATTCTACGAAGAACAGCTCAAGGCCTACTTTTCGCAGTTCGGGAATGTCACGCGTCTACGCGTATCGCGCAACAAAAGGGTCAGTGCGCATCCCTGTGGAACTGATTCTGTGCTCATGATCTGTCTGCAGACCGGGAAATCAAAGCACTACGGGTTCATCGAGTTCGATTCGGCATCTGTCGCCCAGATTGTGTCGGAGACGATGGACAACTACCTGCTGATGAATCACCTGCTGGTCTGCAAGGTCGTTCCCAGGGAGCAGGTGCACCCGGAACTGTGGGTCGGTGCCAACAGGCATTGGCGATCAGTTCCTTCGGCGCGTAAAGCGCAAGCTGACTACAACAAGGTCCGCGTGCCCCTCAATTGCTGCTTGCCAAGTGCATTCTGACAGTCACGCAGCCCCGGACCAAGGAAGAGCAAGGACGTGCCGCTGTCCGGCTCTTGAAACGTCAACGAGAACGTCAACGCAAACTTGACAAGGCTGGGATTGCATATGACGTCGAGGCGGCCGGGTATAGTTCTAGCCTTGCTCAGTAGATCTTTGTCAGCACGTACCATGCGCTGGTGTCAACACCAAAATGCAGACCTCGCACGTTTCTGTAATCCACATGCGAGAGGCTGAACCATCGCCCAACTTCACTGGTCTTGCGCAGCATTAGAAAACAGTGGAATTCATAATTTACACGCCGTACAACCACAACAACGTAATCAACTACAAGCGCTCACACTCGTTTTCCAACGACCACACCGTCCTGGATCTCGATCTTGGCTGTGGGTGCTTTGAGGAAACCCTCCTGGTTCTCAAACGACAGCTCCTCCAAAGTTCGCTGCTTGGTCTCCGGCAGCAACAGCGTCGAGAAGATGCCTGTCAGCATGAAGAAGGCGAAAATCTCCAATCTGGGCAAGAATAATCAGTTGTGGACCCATACTCTCTGCACACGAGTGATGCTTACATGTGCTTGACGAATTTGTTGGTGCCGCCAATGTTGACCAACTTGGAGAATCCGACCTGGGCAACGATGGCTCCCAGTTTGCCACTTGCAGCAGAGATACCGTGTGCAGTAGACCGATACCGGGTGGGGAAGATTTCACCAGGGATAATGAATGTAGTGGTATTCGGACCAAAGTTCTGGAAAAAGTTGGTCAAACAGTAAAGGAACACAAAGGCGGCTTTGGCGGAGGTGCTGGACGTGAGCTTGTCGTATCCAAAGCCTACAAAATTCATGTTATAATATGTAAAAAGTGTCGAAATGCACAACAAACCCATAATGACGAATAGGACCGTCAGCACGGTAAAACCCATCAGCTGGATGGGCTTGCGCCCCCAGCTGTCGATCAGGAAGAAAGTGGCCCAGTATCCAGGAATCAGGCCGGCCGCGGAGAAGATAAGATTGCCGATGGTGACGTTCCGCAGATTGTCGTACACATTCTGAGTCCCGTGGCTGGAAGCGCTCCCGAAGCCCATAGCAGTCAAAATCACAGACGTGTTCAGACCCAATCCGTAAAACGCGATCTGAAATAGATCAGATAGGAACGGCACGTCAGAGCGGATAAGCTCACATCAAGCGCAAACCAGGAGTAAGAAGTGCCCAGAAGAATCTTTCCGTTCTCCCACTTGCCAAAGTAAGCACGGAAGTCGGCCCACGAGGCACGAGGCATTTCAACGCGCTGGACAATCGCATCGGGGTCCCGGTTGAACGTGCCAGAGGTGAGGACGTTTTCGATGTCATCGGACGCCTGCATGACATTTCGTTCGATGTCCATCGTGAAACGAGGGGTCTCGGGGATGGTGAGTCGGAAGTAGAGCGCAATCACACCAGGCACACAGCCAAGACCGATCAGAATACGCCACATATAGTCGACATGGGGGACGTGGTTGATCGCTGGGTCATTCAGGATCTTGTCCTTGTAGGCAGCAGTGACGATGAATGCGACCAAAGCAGCGGCTGCACGCGATTATTAAAGCCATGATGCGATCGATTGACACCGACACACACCGAAGTTACCCCAACCCTGGTTGGCAAACACAGCTGTCATCATGCGCCCACGGATCCGAGTAGCCGAGAACTCGGAGGAGATGGTAGCAGAGAGCGGGTAATCACCCCCAATCCCAACACCCATCTGTGGTCAAGTTAGGCATGCGATCGGTTCGCGCGAACAAAAACTCACAATGAAGCGCCATACAACAAGCACCCCGATGATACCAACAGCACCACCGTTTCCAGAGAGGGCTTGGGCGAAAGTTGCAACGATGATGATCATGAGCTCGACACCATCTGCAAGTCAGATGAGCATATCGTGAGTGACAGGGGGAAAGTTCACGCACACATCCGCTTTCTGCCAACGACGTCTGCCAACCATCCGAACAACAGTTGACCGACAAGCGTCCCAACAGGAGTAGCGACCTTGATACCCAGGTCTTGTGAGGGGTTGAGCCTGCCAGCGGTGGTTGCAGAACCTGGCAGAGCGATCAGCAACGCGATAAAATTGGGCATGAGATTGACGCTAACTCTTTCCGTAGACGTAACCCAACATGGTGGCCGCGATACTGATAGAGAAAATGTCATAGCTGAAGAGGATGTCAGCAAGGTGGAGAAGGAGATAATAGATAAGAACGCACGCATCCGTGAAGAAGCCGACACCAGCAACCAAGCAAACTTTGACATGGAACCAACTGAGTTCGAATTAAAATGTTGGACAGAGGCAACGAAGAGAGGCACTGACGAGAACTTGGCGTTGTCAACCTCGGCGAGAGCAGCACGACGGCGCTCGTCAAGCACGTAGGTAGCATCGGCACCTTTGGCAGCGGAGGCGTTAGACTCTTTATCGGCCATGAGAGTCGTATGCAAAAGGGGGACAGCGAAGAATCTGTTCCGAGCATGCCGTCTTATATGTCTGCATTCTAGCGTTCCGAGCGTTCGGGCCCTTTCCCCACACAAGTCAAGGACTGGGCAAGACAGATCTGTCCAAAAAGGAAGGTAAGTTCACGAACGTGCACCATTGCGCAATGTGATCATCTGAGTTAGTTGATGTGTACCCGCCTATATGCCATCTTTATCACGCAGCCGCCTCCGTTTCACCGCCCTGTGCAGCGGCGTACTTGTCAATTCACGCGAACACTCGACCGTTCAGGTGTCGAATCGGCTGAAATCTATTGCCCTGTACAAAGAGCTTCACCGTCTTGGCAGAGAACACGATCCAGCGTGTGTCCTCCCGTTAGAGGCCAAGACCCCATCTGCAAGTCTGATCCTCCCAGATATAACTTCCATGGCAAATTGAGGAGCCTTTTCGAACGTCAGTCATTCATTCAGTCCACTGCTGTAGCACATCCTCAGCCCCAGAAACCCAGGCAACAGGTCTTTAAGCGCGCCGGAAGACATCGAAAGAGCGTTCCGGCTGTGTGACTACATCAAACGAGGTTGCACGCGCTACAGCTTTGCATGACATCGTTTCCCTGACGTCTCCCAGAAACGTTGGCACTCTATTCCCTGCGAAAGTATCGGCATCTCAAGCGGATGTATCCTCCTCCGCCCCCGCCTCCCACTCGATGACTCGGCCCCAGCCCCCGGAGCCACTGCGCAACAGGCACACAGAGGGGTGACGTAGTGCGGGAAATTTTGCTCCGGATCTGCGAAAGATACTTATGGTATGTATACTGTATGGGAGAAGAGCGGGACCCGGCAGCACAGTGTGGTACTTCCCCGATCAGATTTACCGGAAGTGACCGAAATCATCTTTCTCTTTTCTCCCCCTCCAGTTTTGTTGAGGAATGTTGTGGGCGATGCTTTCGAGTACATGATATCCTTTCAATCCCTACCCGTTGAGGTGTTCTCGCTCCCTTTCATAGCCGCTATCCATCTTTATCACTCAACAGCTTCTTTATGAAGTCCAACTATATGCGTTTTCGGCAGCACTGCCCGTAACTAGTCGACGGTTGTTCGATGTATTCGACTCCGCTCCTCCCTACTTTCGCGCCCAGTACCTCATTGGACAATCAGAGACACGAACTAGCGTAGGGGGAGTCGTATCCAAAGCTCTACGCTTCCCCTTGTGCTCGACCGCTGTGCTCGATATAATTCTTCGTGTTTGGCCCGGCAGCACGCCTTCGCCCTGGGCTCCAGATTCATCCGCGAACGAAGCAAGATTGACACTGCGACCAAAACCGTCTCTCGCCTCACACCCGGGCCCCGAACTGCCTCGTCGATGGTTCCGGAACCTTACTGCACGCACTGAGACCCAGGTCCCGTTCTCGGAATCTGATCAGCCACTGCCCTTCTTGCGCCACCTGTATTCGTCTTCTCACCTTGCCGCATCTCCCCCCAACGCAGATGCACACGCTGGGTATGCCTTGACCCGTGCCGTCCATGCCGAGTTTGTCCCTCTCATACGTTTCCTGCTCTCTCATGGGGCTTCGCTCGGACATAAGAACAGCCTGCCTGTTTTCGTAGCCATCAGACGCAAAAGTTTGGCTCTGGTGAAGCTTCTCATTGAACGCAAAGACGATGAAGACCAGCCGAAGGGAACGAGGAAAAGGGGAACAAACGGCGTCGGTTGGAGGATCGCGTCGCGATCACGCCCGATATGTTGCGGGCAGCGGTCAAGGCAAATGCGCGCGATATCGCAGACTATTTTATGCTGGAAAAAGATGTTGTTCCAGACATGCAGACCTTGCAAATTCTCATGCGGGAGTAGTCTGATTATATTGTTCCTTTGGAATCTACCACTGTCAGCGAATATGAACGGTGACCGACTGATGAACTACTTCCTGACCTCTGCGAGTCGTAAGATGTGATTCAGGGCCCTTGTCTTTTGGATGCTCTGATTCCATGAGCCAAGACAACAAGGAGTCCTGATTCACTATGCGTGGACAGTATTCTTCGTTGACTACTTACTCTTCATCCCGGGCCAGACAATGAAGTCATAATAGTGTTGTCGATACAGGCGTAGGTAAATGTCACAAATGAGTAAAACAGAGATGCAGCAGTGTAGAACGATGGACGAGAGAAAAACAATGCTCATATGTCGTCGATATCCAGATCGCCCTCATCATCACCAAACTCGAACGTACATTCGCCCTCCTCCTCGCCGAAGGTATCGGTATCATTGATCTTCGCATTCTCTGGTAGTTCCCCATAGGCTTTCACTGCGACGGTTGTCAGTCGTCTGTCGAGCAAGTGCGTAGCATGACGACAACGTACAGTTTCGAGCCTCGTCGGCCGTGTATTTGACGATGACATCGGCTTTGTCATCTTGAAAGTCTCGAAGGGATAGCAGAACGATGTCTCCCTGGTTGATCCACACCTACAAGCCCAGGTCTCAAGATGTGACACAGGCCAGATGAGCAAGACGGACCTTTTTCCTCATCTTCCCCCGAATGTGCGCCAAACGCTTTTCTCCATCGAAGCATAGCGCTTCCAGTCGACCGTTGCCCAACATCTTGGTTACTTGCGCGTATTCTTGGCCATCTTCACGGAAGACGAGTTCGCGCTTATCATCGTCGTTCTCGTTCTTTCCACGTCTCCGATTTTTCCCACCCTAAGGAAGGGTGTCAGTTTACTGGACAGCAATACTTGAGCAGGATCGCGCACCTTTCCCTTGTTCTATAGAGCATAGATGAGAACAGATCTTGCCTGAGAGATAGGCAAGCGGACCTTGGGCATATTGGATTACTGTGCGGTGGTGCTTTCTACAAAAATTCTTTGTACAGCAGGCGGTCTAGGCGAGTCGCGTTCAGACGTTTAGCAGCGGAGAGTGGGCGCTGCAAGCAGGCTGTGAAGCAAAATGAGGGCTGGGCTGCTGACTCAGCATTGTTATCGATTGTTTGCTGGCCCTTCATGCAGAGCTTCATGAATCATACTTGACTTTCAATGACTCGTCCTTGAAATCGGCACATCTGGCTCCGTGTGAACCTCCGAACCTTCCGTCGCGAATAGCTCCGAGTCGACTCACATGCTTGAAAGCTTGCCAGAGGACCCGGGTACAGGGGCTGATGCGGGCGTAGGGTGGCAAAACCATGCCGAGTCAGACTCAGTACCAGATTTTTTGGAACTGGTTGGCAACAGTCAACGTAGACGCAGTCAAGGATGAGATTCTACTCGAACCCTGTTGTACGCTGGCTGACTCCTGCGCGAAGCTTAATTTTCCCGTTTGTCACCGATGGCCATATGACATCTTCAGAATATCTTATCTGGGTTTGCGGTGCCGCAAAGATAGTGACTAAGAGTCATCATATTATTTATAGTAATACCTCGCCTACGGCGACGAAATTCACCCCTCCCTTTCACCCTCAAAACGACCGTCTAGAGTCTAAGACGATCGATGCCTCTCTACCAGCTAGAGGTGGCCAGCGTCTCTGCAGGCGTCGTTGGCTTGAGCGGCATCTTTCTCTTTTTGAACCGGCCGAAGGAGGGGAAGATACAGTTGCCCATTCACGCGGGCTCATTGGCGGAGGATGAAGTGGTTGACGCTTTCGACGTTGCAACACCGGAGGACATCATAGACGGATACCCGATTGAGGAGGAGGCATTCTGGACGTGGATAAAATGGAGGAAACTCTTCCTTGCCTTACTACTTTTCGCAATCGTTGGCTTGCAGACCGCTGGCCTTGCCTTGTCTGTCTTCCACCGTGCTGAAAGAAACCTGATTGTCGCCTATTCCCTCAATGTCGCCACCGCTCTTTACGCGTTCTCTGTGGGGGCTTTCGCCGTGTCCAAGAACACGTTCGGAAGGCACGGAGAGCTCATCTGGCATCTCACTGCCCTCACGACCGTCCCTGCCTTCATCCTCTCTTTCATTGCCATTCTGCCGGCCGATTCTGTCATCATCAGTGCCGCAGGCCAGCTACAACGCATGTGGTATGCGTCTCTAGCACTGTACATAGTAGCCTCCGTCGGTTACTGGACCACGGCTCTCGGCCCGGCGCTGCACTACCCGCCTTCCGCCATCTACTCGTCGAAGACTGTTGAGGCGGTGACAAACACGGATCAGGAGAACGTTACCGGGGTCGTTGGTAAGTTTGCGCATGATTCCGGGTCCCAGAGCCCTGCTGACTGTCCGACACAGGCGCCTCACCATGGGACGTGCTTTTCTTTTCGTACACGACCAAAGTGGTCATGCTCGGCAATACAGCAGAAAGCCTGGAGATCGGTGATCTGCCGATCGTGCCGGCGAACATGCGCGCGACATCCAACTTCGCTGTCATGCGCGAGGCCACGAGAAAGATCAAACTGCGTGTGTTCTCGTGGAAGCCTTCTCCGGGCTCTGGTGCTCTTTTGGCGTACCGGCTGCTGCGAGTGAATGCCGCCGCTCTCACTGCCCAGGTGATACTTGCCTCGACTGCCGCTGGTCTGTTCTACGCCCCCGCCTATTTCATGCGCATGCTGCTGGCCTACTTGGAAAGCGATCCGGAACGGAAAGACACGTCCTGGGGCTGGGTCTGGATCTTCGCTCTGTTCAGCTCCAATGTGATCTCATATCTACGTCGGTCTCCTCATCTCTTTTCCCCATTGTGTTTCTCAACAGCTGTTTCTAGTGACGGGTCAGCTCTGGTCGCTTTCGACAACAACTCTCCAAGTTCGCATCCGCACACAGCTCAACACCATCTTGTTCGCCAAGACCCTAGTCCGCAAAGATGTCGCGTCGTCTGCGGTCTCGGCCGACAAGGATAAGAAGGACGGCGAAACCGACGAAAAGGAAAAATCCGAAGACGATTTTTCGTCCAAGGCGCAGATCATGACGCTTATGACCGCGGACGTGGACCGGGTGTCTGAATTTGCCTGGCATTTGTTCACTCTCGTGGACTCCCCGATTGAGATCGTTGTCGGCTCCCTCTTCCTGTACAACCTCCTCGGCATCTCCTGTCTTTTCGGTCTTGCGGTGACATGCCTCTTCCTTCCTCTGAACCATTTCGCCGGCAAGATCGTGGTCAGTGCCCAGGATAACCTGATGAAGACACGTGACGAGCGTGTGGCTCTGATGAACGAAATCCTCGGTGCTATTCGTATGCTCAAGGTGAGTTGGACCTCGTCTCGTCAGCTGGAAGTTGATGTGGGACACAGTTCATGGCATGGGAGCGCAGTTTCGAAAAGCGAGTGCTCAAAGTCCGCGAGAAAGAGCTCAAGTTCCAGAAACTCAACTACACCATCGAGGTTCTCTGGAACGCCATCTGGAACGGCTCGCCCATGCTCGTAACCTTGGTCTCTTTCTGGCACTATGCTGTTGTTCGCAAAGAGATTCTCACCCCGTCGACTGCATTCACTTCTGTAAGTGGCTTCTTTGGGAGAAACAGTACACAATATCTGACTTTTACATTCAGATCATCAGTCCGTGCCGAACTGTTTGTATTGTATTCTGTGCTGAACCAATCATTCTAGTCTTCAACGAGATGAAATTTGCGCTGAACGCTCTCCCCGAGACACTGATCAACTTGCTGCAATCTATCGTCTCCCTGCGTCGTATCGAAAAGGTAATTCAGCTTCCTAATCCACCTCATTTCTGTGCTCAGCCCGATGCTTCAGTACCTGGGCACTGCAGAGGTCTCACCAGTAGCTCCCCTCAGCCAGCAGTCGCAGACTATTGCATTCCAGTCGTGCACTGTGACATGGCCCCAAGGTCGCCCAACGGCCAGCACCAGCTCGACTGCGGTTCCATCCGCCGCCCCCTCTGTTGCTTCGACACCGCGCGTCAAGTTTGTGCTTGTTGACCTGAATCTGCGATTCCCGCCAGGTGAACTGTCCCTGGTCTGTGGCAAGCTAGGGTCCGGAAAGTCACTGCTTCTGCTGGCTTTGTTGGGCGAGGCCGATGTGCTCTCTGGCCAGACGCTGTGCCCTCGATCGCCGCCCAACTCTTTGGCTGCGTTCGCTGATTTCGACCAGAAAGAGGAGTGGATCGTGCCTGGGATGTCGGCTTATGTTCCTCAAGTGCGTCTTGTCAGTGAAATGTCCCCAGCCCCAACTAACGCATTTCCAGACATCGTGGCTACGGAATGCATCCATCAAAGGTGACGAAAAGCCAGGCAACTGTCCGACTCGATGGCTGATTAGCGACAGACAACATTCTCTTCAGCTTACCGTACAACGAGGCGCGCTACAGGGCAACCTTGGAGGCCTGCGCTTTGGTCAGCGATCTCGAGATTCTTGAGGACGGGGACGATGCCGAGATTGGAGAGCGTGGAGTGAACTTGTCTGGCGGTCAGAAAGCACGAGGTATGTGGTTGGTGGTCGGTCGTCATCGAATGAGGTTTTGACCGGCTTCAGTCTCCCTTGCCCGTGCTGTCTACTCTCGGGCTTCGATCCTTCTTCTGGACGACGTGCTCTCCGCTGTTGATGCTCACACCGCCCACCATCTTTACCACAACTGTCTCCGCGGCGAGCTGATGGCTGGGCGCACGGTCATTCTCGTGTCGCACCATGTGCAGCTGACAATCTCGCACGCATCGTATATCGTCGCCCTGGACAACGGCAAGGTGCTGTTCCAGGGTACTCGCGATGCGTTCCAGAGCTCGGGTGTCATGAGTGGGCTCGTGCAGTCGACGACGGCAAACGAGGAGGAACAGACCGAAACCGCGCTCGAGGTCGTCCAAACTGACGGTTCCGTGGACTCTGAATCGACCGCTGCGGCGTCACCGACGCCCAAGCCCAAGGAGAAGAATGCACCGCGGAAGCTCATCGAGGAGGAGAAACGCGCCGTCGGCCGTGTTGCCCTCTCTGTTTGGTCGACGTACATCAAGGCCTGTGGTGGTTACTGGTACTGGATCATATTCGCCATCGTCTTTGCCGTTGCAGCCCTGGGTCCGGTTCTGGAGAACGGTTGGATCGGATACTGGTCGCGGGGTGACACGTCCAAGAGCGCGGTGTACTACATCGGTGTCTACGCTATCCTGACTACCCTCGGTCTCTTTCTCAGCACACTGCGGTGGTTTGTTCTCTGTCAGTGTTCGTTATGTTTTGCAGAAGAGCTGTTACTGAATTCAGTCCAGACACGGGTTCGATCCATGCTTCACATGTCTTGTACAAGCGTAAGGAGTTTCTCAGATATCTTTGATCGCGACTAATCGCGACGTCTTATAGAACTGCTCGAGGGCGTGCTCTTCGCCAAAATCCGATTCCACGACACCGTTTCTCGCGGTCGGGTGCTCAATCGATTTGGCAAAGACTTCGAAGGCATTGACAGCAGTTTGTCTGACCATTTTGGGCGCTCGACGATGTACTTCATCTCATCAATCGTAAGTGAATCTCTCATCGTCTATTGCAGTGTCTCTAAAATTTCATAGACGACGATTGTCACTATCAGCTTCGTCGGAGGGGTTCCGTTCATTGTCGCGACCATCCTCACCGGCATCTTCTATTACAATGGTTTGCTGCCTTCTCCTGCAGATGGGAGATTTAGCTGATGGGATTTACAGTGGCCAAAGTCTATGGCCAGACTTCGCGGGACATGCGCCGGCTGGACTCTGTGACTCGTTCGCCGTTGTACTCGATGTACTCCGAGACCATTGCTGGAGTCACGATTCTGCGATCTTTCGGTGCTTCGTCCAAATTCTTGCGTGACATGCTGCGATACGTTGACACGGTGAGTTTCAGAGCGGACTGGTGTCGTCTTTGACTTACATAACCCCAGAACTCGAACCCGTACTACTGGCTGTGGGGAGTGAACCGCTGGCTGTCGATTCGGTTCAACATCCTGTCAAGTGTGATCATGGCTGCCATTGCGCTCGTTGCTGTCCTGAATCACAACATCTCTGCCGCGCTCGCTGGATTTGCGCTAGCGTTTGCGAACACAATCACCAACGATTTGTTGTTCCTCGTCCGTCGCTTCGTCGGACTGGAGCAGGCGATGGTGGCCCTCGAGCGTGTCAACGAGTATTCCGAGCTGGAGAGGGAAGCTCCCGAGTTCGTCGAGCCGAGGCCTCCTGCGGCCTGGCCGTCCGAAGGCAAGATCGAATGCCACGATCTTGTTATCAGATATGCGGTACGTCACTCGATTGTCCCGAGGATCTCTGTCACCAACTTAATCACATGCGCGCAGCCTGAACTTCCACCGGTGTTGCACAACATCAGCTTCGAGATCAAGCCCGGCGAGAAGGTCGGCATCCTGGGACGTACGGGATCGGGCAAGAGTACCTTGGCCCTATCTCTCTTCCGCTTCGTCGAGCCGACTGAAGGCCGCATGCTCGTTGACGGATTGGATATCTCTCAGATCGGGTTGACGGATCTGCGCAGCAAATTGACCATCATCCCCCGTGCGTCTTTCTTCCATTCCCGATGGGATTATGTTCTGAATGACTTGCAGAGGACCCGACCATCCTTAGTGGCACGTTGCGGTCGACGCTGGATGTGTTCGAGGAATACGAGGACGCGGACATCGTGAGCAACTTTTTCATTGCTTCGCTGCTTCTCTTTAACGCGTTTCAATTTCAGTTCGAATCTCTCCGTCGCGTGCATCTCATTCCGTCAGAAGACACGCCCGATGAAGAAACGGGTGTCGTCAATGCCAACATGTTCCGCAATCTGGATTCGACGGTCTCCGAGGGTGGCGAGAACTTCTCCACTGGGTGAGTTCATCGTCAGAACCCTGGGATCGAAGGCCGACTGACACCGTGTCAGTGAAAAGCAGCTGCTCTGTATGGCACGGGCCATCTTGAAACGATCAAAAGTGTTAGTCATGGACGAGGCGACTGCCAGTGTCGACTACGCCACCGACGAACTCATCGGTCAGACGATCAGGCAGTACGGCATACTCTCCGCAACTGTATGCTTTCTCTGACCATCTTTCCAGACAATTCGCGGACAGCACCATCCTTACTATCGCCCACCGACTGAGGACGGTGATTGACTACGATCGGATTATGTTGCTCGACCAAGGCCGCATCGCCGAATTCGACAAGCCCAGCGTCCTCCTGCGCGACCACAGCTCCAAATTCTATTCGCTCTGCAAGGCGACGGGCAAGGACGAGTTCTCTACCCTCAGGAAAATGGCAGGTGTTTGATGAATCCAATCAAAATGACAACTACAAAGTACTATATCATGATCGTTTGTCTAGACCTATTTTCTGTACACATCGCGCGCATGCAATGCACTCATACGAAATGAATGCAGGCTTCCGTTGATCGTTCGCCCGGGTGTCGCGGGGGTAACTGTTGTAGTTTGAACTGAACGTTTCTCGGCTTTCTCCGCCATCCTTGATCGGCTGTGGATTGCGATCGCTCCAGCTCCAATCGCAACGACGATGCCATGGATTCCTCCTTTGCTCATCCCGTCACGATGTACTTACTGACATAATATTATCGAGAACGGTACCCACCTCCGGCGACAGCGGCCGATCGGAAGTTTCCAACACCGAGGTTTAGCATCACATGTCACCTGCTTGGCGCACCCGCGTTCGACTTTCTCTGCTTGGTGGTTGGAAGCTAATTCGAGCACTGTCATCCAACGCCACCCGCTCGGCCATTTCCTTTGATGCCCGAGGAGCATGTACACGAAATCTGATCGCTCAGACCCGCGTGGTTGATATCATGATCGCGGGGTCGAGGTATGTACGAGCAGGGGAAGCACCTGCCCTGCAATCCCCTCTCTATCTTTCCCTCCTGCAAACATGACGCAGCCGCCTCTGGACGCGTCTCTCAACCTCAGCCAGATACTCGATCTCCACGTCGAGCCCCCGCGGCTCACCACGGCATACGCGCTCGCCGATGGGAAAGGCGGGATCACGAGCGTCAGCCACTACGAGTTCGTGCGCGCGGCGCATCGAGCTGCGCACATACTTCGCCCTGGGCGTGAAGGGCAGCAGGATGGTCAGGTCGTCGCGATCATCGCGAACGCCGACGTCCTGATATATCAGACGCTGGTCGCGGGGTGCATTAAGGCAGGACTCGTCGTGCGTCCCGTCCCAGCAGTGCCTCGATCTGTATTCCTACTGACTGCTCTGTAGCCCTTCCCAATCTCGCCTCGCAACTCCCCTGCCGCGATCGTGCACCTGCTGAAGTGCACCGACTCGCACCGACTGCTGACGACGCGCCAGACATTGGGCCAACTCGCAGACGGTCTAACGACTTCGCTCAACCAGGAAACTCCAGTATATGAGCTTTCAGTTGAGGAGATTCCTCTGCTCGGACAGTTGTATCCGCATTTGGGCGCTGAAGGCCCTGGTGACGACCCGTCGCCGCTCTATCCTTCCCCGAAGAAACCGGTTTCTGTCGACGATGTGGCGCTGTACCTTCATTCGAGTGGGAGCACTGGATTCCCCAAAGCCATTCCCGAGAGTCACCGAACTCTGATCTACTTTGCCGGGATAGGTGCGTGTGGTCACTCGCGCGGAATCGCATCTCATTTCGCACAGAATGCCTGTCTGAAGTCGTGGAAGTCTCGCCCCGCTTCGCCTCCGGCGCAGTGCCCGCGTTTCACACCATCGGAATCATGACGCAGCTGATCCAGCCGATACTGAACTGTGGCACGGTATGCTTGTATGCGCTGGCGTCGACGGCGACCGAATACCGGGCCCCGCCCGCACTGACGCCGCAGAACGCGCTGGACCACGCGATCCTGACGAACGCGGACGGCATCATGGCTGTCCCCGCCGTCCTCCTCATGTGGCAGTCGCCCGCGCACCTAGCGTATCTCAAGACATTGAAGCTTGTGGTATGTCACGTGTGCGATTCGGAACCCCGATCGAAACTTACGTGCGACAGTGCTACTCGGGCGGCCCGCTTGTGACGCCCATTGGAAACGCGATGGCCAGTCTCGGGATCAACATCGTTTCCGTTTACGGTGGCACGGAATGTGCGTGCTCCCGTGTCTGCTTCTGCGTCTTCTCGCACTAGGCTGATCGGTCGGCAGTTGGTGCTGCGACAAAGATCAAGCGTGTCGTAGGTGACCTGAGCGAGTGGGACTGGCTTGAGTTCAGCGATCGCGTCGACATCCGCTGGGCTCCGCAGGGGGACAACGTCTTCGAGTGCCAGTTTCTCGTGCGTACGCTCTCCATCATCCGGTGCAGCTCACAGAACAGCGCAGAGTTGCGCCACACATCAAGGTGCCATTGAGAACCTGCCCGACGTCAAGGGCTACGCAACCAAGGATTTGTATGAAAAGCATCCGTCAAAGAACTTGTACAAGCTGTGTGTCACGGTCTTTGCTTGACATGCATGTGCTGACACCGATTGAAGGATTGGTCGTTTGGATGATGTCATTACTATGGCCAACGGAGAAAAGACAGTGCCGGGTCCAATGGAGGACGTGATGATCGCGGATCCGAATATAACCGGTGCTGTTATGTTCGGACGCGAGCGGAATCAAGTGGGAGTGCTTATTGAGCCTGCTCCTCAGCACAAGATAGATCCGCGGGATGAAACACAGCTAGCAGAGTTCAGAAATCTCATCTGGTAAGACGCGCTCACCTGTGGATTCGGTGTTGTCGTTCATGTGGTTTCCAGGGACACGATCCAAGAGGCAAATGAGGTACGCATCGCTCGATCAAGTGTGTAACCCGACGATTGACCCCAGTGACAGAACGCCCCTGCCTTCGCACGTTTGTACAAGGAGATGGTCTTGGTCACTTATCCCGATAAGCCTCTTGTCCGCGCTCCGAAGGGGACGATCATCAAGAAAGCCGCGCTGGCAGTGTATGAACAAGAGATCGACACATTGTGAGGGCTTGGATGATCCATCTCATCTCATCGCATCTTATCACATCTCATCAGATATGACACGGTCGAGAACAGCACCACGATCGTTGATCCTCCCGCCTCTTGGACACCTGGCGACGTCGAAAAATGGCTTTTGAAGCAGGCGGGAACTTTAACGGACAAGGAAATCCTACCTGGGAAAGACATATTCGACCAAGGCTTTGACAGTCTCAACGCCACATTTTTGCGCCACCGCATCGTCGGTTCCCTGAAGGCGTCGGCAGAGCCAGGCGTCAAGGCAGCAGCATCGAGTGTGACGCAAGATTTCGTTTATGCGTACCCGACGATTGAAGCTTTGGCCAACGCTGTCTTGACCCTCGTGGCTGGCAGTGCAGTGACGTCGTCATCGACTACGAAAGCTGATATCGAGGCTGTAATCCAGCGGCACACCGAGAGGTTTTCGGAGATACCTGAACGAACAAAGACGGCACCAGCTGGCGGAGATGTCTTGCTGATCACTGGATCTACTGGCGGTCTTGGCTCACATATCCTCGAGACTGCGCTGGCCAACAGCACAGTTCGTCGAGTCTTCGCGTTGAACCGGAAAGGCACAGTCTCTTCTGCAGACCGACAGAGGGCCATGTTTGTTGACCGCGGCCTGGACGTCGAGTTTCTGCGATCAGAGAAGCTAGTCTTCCTGGAAGGCGACGCATCTCAGCCGTCGCTGGGTCTCTCTCAAGACGTTTTCACTCTGGTCAGTCTCTTCTATCGATCGCAGTAAACTGCAGCTGAGTTGCTCTAGCTATCTGAAGCCGTCAGCGTGATTATCCACTGCGCTTGGTCCCTTGACTTCAACAAAACCCTTCCTTCTTTCGAGTCTCACATCCAAGCGACGCACAACCTTATTGATATGGCTCGAGGTTCTACAAACAAGACGAACGTGCGATTCCTGCTAACGTCGTCCGTCGCCTCTGCCCAAGGCTGGAACAAGAGCCTGGGCTCATTCCCCGAAGAAGTCCAATTCGATGCCGGCGTTGCCATCGGCGGTGGATATGGCGAAGGGAAATACGTGTCCGAGCGTATCCTGTTTGCATCGGGACTCGAAGCTACGTCATTCCGAATTGGACAGGTTTGCGGATCGGCTCGCACTGGCGCATGGTCCGTGTCCGATTGGGTTCCCGCCCTAGCGAAATCGAGCATCGCGCTTGGTGCCTTCCCGTCTATGGCGGACACCCAGAACACGTGGATCACCCCCGAGGCGGTTGCGAGCGCTGTGGTGCAAGTGGCGCTGGCGGAATCGAAGCCGCCGTTTGCGATGAACTTGGTCAGCCCACGGCCCGTCGCATGGGATGAAATCATGGGATGCATGGCTGAGGTGGCTGATCGACCACTCATTCCATTCGCGGAATGGGTCGTTAGATTGGAGAAACGAGCTGCAGTGGCATCGGCTGAGGACTTGCAGAATATCGTAAGTCATCTACATCTCCTCTTATTCCATCTCCTGACTTTGTTCTAGCCTGCTATCAAGCTGTTCTCATTCTTCAAGTCTGCTCAGACATCTGTCCTGTTCTCGACTTCCAAAGCACAGGCATCTAGCGCAACTATCCGATCTCTTCCCAAGCTGTCGGCAGAGGATGTCAGGAAATGGATGTCCTATTGGCGAGAGCGCAAGTTCATATGATCGCCTGATCAGCAGTACACTTAACACATTGTATGTATGTATCTTCATGGACTTGAGCTGCCCCATTTCTCGTCTTCGTCATCGTCCGGGCCGCGACCCATCCAGGTATATCCACCGACGTCTGCATTCAGCAGTTCCTCTACACCTTGCATTCTACTCTCCACGTCCATCTGAGACTCGTAGCGCATCGGAAATCTGAACGAATTGTCTCTTAGCGCCTGGCTTTGACTTTGGCTCTGGCTCTGGCTCTGGCTGTTTGCGAGTCGTCCTAATGGCTGTGTCGATGCCCCCTGGGGATTGAATTCCGAGTACTGTGGCATCTCCTGGCTCTCCTGCGATCCCAGCGAGTTCGAGCCGTCAATAGAAGATAGCGATTTCGTCGGCGACGGGACTGGATCTAGTCCTGGTAGTCGTGTTTCATCGTCGACATGGTTCTCCTCCTCCTGTTCCTCATCGTCAGGCGCTGTCGCATCCCAGTTGATGATATCGTCCATCGACCCGCCCGGGTGCTCCGCTTCGACCTGCGACGATTCGAGAACGACCGCGCTCCTCTCCTCCTCGTCCACTACCCTAGCCGGCGTCTTCTCCTTCTGCTTACCTTTCATCCGCTTTTTCGAATCAGACGCAGCGATCAGATCGTCGAGGCGCGGAAATACCTTGCGCGGCGGCGTGAAGAGATCCGCAGGATTCTTTATCGAGGTGTGGACGCGCGAAACGGGTGGCGGGGAGGAGAGGGGAGAAGAGGGTTCGCTCGACACCGTCGTGCGGGCCTTCTTGGCTGGGCTCGAAGGCTCCGTCGTCGATGGCGACCGCACCCGCTTGGCCGGCGCTCGGGGCACCGCCCTCACGATGGGGGAGGATTCCGGCGAAGGGGATTTTCGCGCCTTCTTCGCGGGACTCAAAGGTGTCCGTGAAGGAGATCGGGCTCGTTTGAGTGGGGACCCATGCGGAGCCGGAGCCGGAGCCGGAGGATCAGCCGGTGGTAGCGAGAGCGGTGACGACGAGGGAACCAGCTCCTGTTCGAGGATTGGCTGCGCTTTGGGTGGTGGTGATTTACCCTTGGGAATAGCCCGCGGAGGCGTCCGAAGTGGAGAGGAAGACGGGACGAGTTCAATGGAGGGCAACCTCGGGCGTACGCGATTGATAGTCAGTGGCGTTGAAGTTTCAAGAGCCGTCGGAAATGAGGGCGGGAGAAATTCCTATTCCAGATCAATGTGAATTCCGAAGTGTGCAATGGTGAGGAACGCACATCGGGTAGATCGGTAATTTTAGTAGTCTTCTCCTTTACAGGCAGAGCCTCTCCTCTCTTGGAAGGGGGACGGGACGGACCTGCCTCAGAACCCGGATCCTTGCTGAGGGCAGAGCTCTTAGGCTTAACCCTGGGCGCTTCAACGGCAACTTCCTCCAAGATCTCTGCCGGTATGTCCTCGGCACTGACATTCTTCTGCCAATTCTCCACCCGTTCTAGCAACTGCGCCCTGATCTTCTTCTGATCCACTTTGACCCTTCCCCCACCGACAGCATCCTGCTCCGTCTCCTCCTTGCGCCGTTCCCATGCATGCCACTCCTCGTCGGTCTTGGGCAGTTCGGGCCACCCCTCATTCGGCTCCGGCGGCGGACGCGCCGTCGTGTCCGTGTTGATGTATCTGTACTTGCCCCTGCTCGTTCCCGTCTGCAACAGGTTCACAACGAGACCCCATTTCCCACTCGCAGGGTTCCGGCCTGCGGCATTCACGGCGTCGACGACCTGTTGTCGTAAAGTTTCGACGCGCTCGCGAGACGCGTCATCCGTGCCGGTCTCTAGCACCCTCTGATCTGGTACCTCCTCCATTTCTTGAAGCGCGACGTGGGTGCTGAACAGACGCCGAAGGTAGGCGGAGGGTGGTTTCGATGACGATGCAGTTGCGGACTCGGATGATGTGGGAGTCCCGGTGAAGTTTGGGGTGTAGAAGGTCTTCAATGGTTTCTTCGGCATATCACACGTAGATCGCGATGAATGGAGTTTGTTAGATAGATACTTAAGCAGACAAAGGGCCTGAGGGTGACCCTGAACGATCACGTGGTACTCTAATTGACTCGATCAAACTTCGACATGTCACATTGCAGTCAGGTTCAACGCGTCAGTCGCACCGCTCACAGTCACCGATTCCTCTCTCAACCAGTATATCGTTCATCAAATCTCAAACATGGGAGGTAGTGCTTTCAGCGTTCTCGACGTCGCCGCGTCTGCTGTGCCTCGGATCCCCCCGGCCGTCTATCAAGCCGTTAAAGCGCGTCTCGGCGCACGGCTCGAGACGCTTTATGCTTTCATATCAACGCCCCACGAGGCTCCCGAAAAGAACGATCACGGAGACCTCGACTTTCTCGCGTGCACCCCACTGGATGAGAGCCTGTCCGTCTCGGATCTCAGAGAGCGCACTTTGGCCCTGCTCGGTGCAGCGCTCTGCGTCCCAGGTGATCCGACGAGTAACTTTGCTGTACCCATCGGAAAGGGAGAGTGGAGTGAGTTTGGGGCGGAGGATAAGGAAACCGAGGCTAGATTGGCTGCCGAGGCAGACAAGCAATCGCAGCTATACTATCAGGTGACTCTGCCTGCCACAGTCAACCGCCTATCACATAATCAGGCTCTGACTTACGCAGGTCGATGTGCATGTCTGCAGAGATAAAGCTGAATTCGCTCGCGTCAACTTCTTCCACGGATATGGCGACTTGGGCATGATCCTGGGTCTCGTCGCCAAGAACAAGGGTCTGAAGCTGGGGGTGAAAGGGCTCGCAGTGAGTCAACGAGTGATTAGTCTATCGGGCCGTGTTACTCAGAAAGCACTACAGGTCCCGCATATTCCTCGGCCACCTTTCCTGCTCACAGATTCGATGGACGAGATCATGTCATACATGGGGCTATCGATGGATCGGTGGCAACAAGGATTCGCCACGAAAGAAGAGATATTCAGATGGGTCAGCACCTCGACGTTCTTCGACCCGAAGCGTTTCCGTACCCAGGGCACGGGCATCAAGAAAGTCAAGCCCGAGAGAAAGATGTACGCGGCGTTCGTGGTGTGGGCCAACGACGCCACGCAGCACGCGGAAACGCCGCTGCCCTCAATGACAGCAGACGAGCAGATCATCCACGCTCTCAACTATTTCGGAAAAAAGGAGGCATTCGATGCGATCAACAGAGAGGATGCAGCCAAGGCCCGTATCAGGGAGTCCTTCAGTGGATCCAAGGTGCGGGCCTGGACGGGACTGCCTACCCATCGCTGGTTCGACTTGAAGAGGATCATGGATCAAGTACGTCAGTCGCTGGGAGGAGAACTCGGGGTGTCCAGCCTCATCGAAGAGAAAGGAGAGGACGGAGTCAAGGCAGAGGTACTGCGGGCACAAGAACAGCTGGGAATTACCGTCGAAAGTAGTGCTGCTGAGGTGGAAACGACCGAGCTCGCAAGAGGCCTCGAGGCGGTGAAGATCAACTGAGCGCGCGGCCTGCCCATATGCATTGGAATACTAGAACTTGTTGTTACAGACTGATACGAAAAGCGGTTTTGCGAAGACTATTCTTGTCCTACGAAAGGATTGGCGATCTCCTCAGACCCGTCGACGGGGCTCAGAAGCGTGATTGTGGGCCCGCGAAGTACGACCAGGCCAAGTGTTCGAGGCGAAAATTCGCGCTCTGGACGAACATTTAAGAGATACGATGTGACCGCATTGGAATATCACGCACCTGAGGCCTGTTCCTCCACTTCATCCAGCACCAGGTTCAACAACTGGTCGTAACCCTTGAGGATCCCAGTCACTGACCCTGCGTCAGCACATGAGCCACGACAAGATTCACTGCGGCGCACCTTCTCTCCCTCCCGTAAATTTTACTCGGATGCGCTGGTCGACATACTTCGACAGGTCTAGGATGGCCTCGCGCTTCGGCTTGTCCATCGTCGGTCCGGAGCCCTGTGCCCCGCCACGCCCACCGCGGGCGGAAGCACCCATCGCACCACGCGCATTTCCTCGCGCTGAGCCACGACCCTACGCATTGAGTCCATATGAAGAAAGGGAACGGAGGAATCGCGACTTACGCGATCAGCCATTTGAGATGAGATGAGAGCAAAAGGATGCGTTTGTCTGTGTTTGGTAGATCGTCTTGTCGTTCAGCGACCCGTTTATCGATTATCTTATCAATCGGGGGAGGGCTCAACAAGATGGATTGCAGCAAGTCTAGTGAGGATACAGCCGCACGAAATCTATGAGTCGGTACAAGAAGATGGCGGGCCTTTGTTCCCACGGGAAGATTTCATTGCCCAACAGTCCACTCAAACAGTAGGCCTCAACAAAAAAACGGCCAAATGCCAACAACCAACTCCACGTCCAGAGTCGGCCCCAATGACCCTCCACACGGCGCCCTGTCTTTTGCGCCCAAATTTTCTCGAAGATGACGCCGACAGCCATAGCGACAAAGAAGAGAGCGATTCTCTTGTCTGCCACCTGATCCAGGGCCCACACAGTGATATAATGGAGCAATCCCGACATCAGAAAGGCACCGAGAACCCCGGCGGCGGGACCCGCGAGAGACGCCAGAGGCTTGGATCCCAGCAGAATAAACTCCTCGCGGAACGTCTGATGCCACCGATATGACCAGAAATCGGTGAGGGATGTGGCAAGCCAGGGGCGGTCGAAGATGGGAGGCCACTCGAGCGCATCCTGACGGAACACTCCCACGGCGACCAGTGCACACGCGTCGTGGAACATCTGGACAGTGCAGTAGATGATCAGCCCATGCAAGACTATCAACGCGTCGATGCGGAGCTGCTTGAGGAACGGACTCTGGACGGTCGTGTCATACATACTGCCGCCCAGCGGCGTGGTGAACGTCGTGGGACCCAAGAGCTGGAAGGAATAGTGGAAGAGATCGGATAATAGGAGATGCGTCACCAACGACACAAAGGTCTGCCAGGAGAACCGCGTCCTGGAAGCAGTGCAACGGGTGTGGGGAGGCAACTTGGTCCCGCGAGAGATGTTCCACCCAACAGCTCGAAGGTTGAAAGTCAGGTCGGCTGCGTCCAGAGCAACCTGAACCGTCGATCTCCGGGTAGCAGACCCTCGTCGTATGGGGGTTGTCGAAGAGATGGTTCGAGTGAGGGAGCGTGCAGCGATAAACCACATCATCAGCTGATGATCGATAAGTGCTCGTGTTATGATTATCTTTCGGGGCTGAAAGACAAACCACAAACGCCTGGTTGACCATTCCCGCCGTGCCTGGATTGTCGGGGCGAACAAGTCTCGTCAAATCGACGCCGACAGCGGCACGGTGTGCGGAAAATAGGATCACGGGCAGTAGCCCCACTCGATAGGCCATTGTGCTTGGGCCGTAAGTTGCCAACACATTGAACCCATAGAATAGGAGAAACTGTGGGCGGCTGAGTACACCTTTTCCCAATCAGCACAGATGCCGATAGCATGCACATACAGGTGGCATGACTTCTGTGCACAGACTATGCAGATTCAGCGGCACACGCACCGACATAGTTACGTAGGAAGTTCAATGGGGAAGTGGATAAAGACCAAGGATCGCGCTGACAGTGGTAGCGAGCATGGGCGCTCGGCCAGTGACTCCTGAGTCGTTCGGGCGCTCTGATGATGCCATCAGAGTCAGCGTTAGAATAAACTATGGACCAGGACCGATGGTCTCATGCCATGAGGTAAGAATACGCTACCGACAAGACCGGCCAAACACCACGGCTCACTCATCAATGGCCCGAAAGCCAGCAGCCAGCCGTAGGTCCAAAGAGCTCCCCAGCATCCACCGACCCTCGAACCAGCAATGGGCCGCCAGACCGCACATTCCAGAACAACGCCCACCCCCATGGCAAGGAAGAAAAGCAACACTCTGATGTCCGCCCCTTTCCCCATCCCACACATGCCTGCAAAATGAAGCAAGCCAGAGACCCCGAATGCGCCGAGAACGCCGGCCACCCGCCCGCCTACTCGCTGCATCGGCTTAAACCCGACCGCGATGAATTCTTGCCGGAACATCTGGTGCCAGCGCACAGCCCAGAACTCGGACAGAGACGTCGAGAACCACGGAGCGTCGAATACCGGCGGCCACTCACTCGGCGCCTGGCGGAACACCGCGACTGCGATGATGGCGGCTCCATCGTGCCCGATCTGGATGGCACCATAGATCATCAACCCGACGAGGAGGGTGATTGAACGGGAGCGGAGAAGGCGGTTCAATGTGCTTGAAGTCTCTGGGCCGTAGATGCTTCCCCCGACGGTCGAGCCCAGTGTCGCGGGGTCGAAACTCTGGCACCAGTACAGAATAAAGTCAAAGGCGACAACGTGGAGTATCAGCGACCCCGCGGTTGAGGCGACGAATGCAGAGGGAGACGAGGGTCGCGTTTGTGCCGGTATCTTCGTGTCCTCAGCAAAGTTCCACCCGATGCCACGAAGATTCAGAGTCAGGTCAGCAGCGTCAAGGAGAAGCCGTCTTTCTGTTCTTGCGAGCGCAGCTCTGCGAACGGGTGTCCGAGATGCAAAAGTGCGGGAGACCGAGCGGGTGGAGAGGGTGAACATGCCGAGTGCAACAACCTGCTTCAAGTATCCTATCTCTGCAGCGTGTGATTCTGACAGCACGGCCGCCAGATCCACCCTTGTAGTAGCACGGTAGGCGGAGAATAAGATGAAGGGGAGCAACGCCAGACGATGCAGAAAGGTCGTGGGGCCCAACAGTGCGAGTACATTGGTAAGATAATACAGCAGCATCTGAAAACATGCTGAGGAAACAGAAGAAGGAACAGACGGCTCTGGTAGAATCTCACTGGTATAGATAGATCGAACAGTGACACTCCCAGGCTCGGTGATGTTGGCGGAGCCACATGAACGAGCGTGTTAAGGAAGTGTGAGAAAGAATCAAGGTCCACACCAGTGGATCCACTCGTCCAGGGTGCAAATGCAAAGGTCATGCCCGAGGTAAGTGGTAGTGGCAATTGGAGGGTGACGAGCCGGGGCGCCCCGATGATCCGCCTGACGCGCAATGAGCTCCGGATCAATTTCTGACCGCTACTGAGTCATAATTAAATTCTACTTGAGAGTGCTGGTATCGCTGCTCCGCATTCCCCGAGTCAAGGTAAGCAAAAGCTGCTCAATCCGTGCCTGTCTCTCCTGCAGCTCACGCATTTCGTCCTTGAGTCTGCTGACGGGCAGATCACGCAAGTCGTCGATGATGGTCTCCATTCTTCTCACGCTGGCCTCGACCGGGGCAGCCGGAGATGGTGGATCGACATGAGCAAAAAATCGAGCCAGAGGACTGCGATTTCCAGTGGAGATTTCGGCTGATGCTGTATCCAGAGTAGCTATCGCGCTGACTACTCTCTTACGCGGAGAGGGAGTGGGGCTGAGCTGACGAGAAGTGGCCCCAAGACTGGTGAAGGACGCTCTGTGACGGAGAGACGTCAGCGTTTCGCGGGATGCCACCGACCGCAACTGCGGTCTCTCGTCGTCCGAATCGTGGAACAAGTCCGGAGAGACGTCAGCGTCGAGCGCAAAGATCGCGTCGTAAAGATTGCTCGAAGTGGATCCAACAATGGCCTCGATGATGGGCATGTTCTTCACTTGTCGTGGGAGACTGTTGAAGAGATTGTGCGCAGCATCCCGAGATGACTGACGCAAGTACTGGCCATCCGCAAGATATCGCTCGTACAAACCGATCGGAACAAGAATCCAGAAGCTGGTCACTTTGATGAGGAACACATTCAGAGAATGCAGCGTCCGAGGTGAGACGAAGTAGCTGGTGGGTTTCAGCACGGCCAGCGCAAGCACGTTGAAAGGCGGTTGGTATGAGAACAAGGCATCTGCTTGCACGCTTGACAAATCGTCAGTGTTATTCCAGAACAGTCAAAACAAGTGCACATACTTTTCCACAGTCGAGATTGCAAATTGAAACAGGTGTTCTTGCGTGGCATTCTGCTATGAGTCAGATCCCGCATCTCTATCCCGCCGGATCACCGACCGCGTCGATCCGAGCAACCGTGTTGGAAAGTATGGAGATGAGGACTGCATGCCATGTCCATCAAGATCATCGCCAACACAACCAGAACTTACTGGTCAGTAGCAACGTGTTCGAGAGAGCAGCAAATGCGGTCATGAGGATCTGTGACAGTGAGATAAGTGGTGCACAAAAGTCACGAGTGGGACTCACAGGGCCAAAGAAGGGATGAAAAGACTTCCGCAGTCGTCAGATCCCGCATGATCACGTTGGGAACGACAGACCTCTGCTTGACCAAAAGAAAGATATGTATTACCAAACCAGATCTCGACCATCAACCAAACAATCTTCTTGGCTGGCCAGCGTTCTTTTCCAAGCGTCCAGAGCGTGAAAAGCAGACCCGAAAAGCATATCGCTGCCATGCCCATGAAGAACACAAACTCTGCAACCATGGCACGCAACGATCTAACGCGCGATCAGTCTCGCATCACGCAGTCAGCTGAAGCCAAACATTATTATCACATTGGAAGACACGGCGAAAAACGCCAGCCGAGGAAACAGGATACAAGCCCCGCAAGCCAATGTGTCGAATGCAGTTTCGGACAATGCCAGATCCTGGTTAACCAGCCCTTTGATGCGCATCCCACCGTAGATGAGGCATATCAGAACAAAGCTCGTGTCAAAGACGTTCCAAATCTGCATGTTTGTGAGGACGTGCGGGTGATCAAGGAAAGTCACTACACACATTTGCGATGTAGATTATCCAGCCTGCGACGCGTTAGTTCCAATCCTATCTTGTGGATATTGCAAGTGATTCACCTCTTTCATTCGCAGCGGTATATTCCTCAAGGGCAAACGCGAATGCAAAAACTCCGAAAACGATTTCCCAGACGGTGAGCCTGGCTGCATCCTTGTCTGCAACGGCTTCAGTGGGTCTCTTGATGACAAGCAATCGGTACACCAACTCGAGAGACACAGAACAAAGGCAATCAACAGACACACGAAGTTGAGAAACTCCAGGATGGCCCCGTACTTTGGCACGTGTAGTCGATAATGATCTAGGAAGGGAGCGTCGCGCGAGTCGTAAATCGTGATTGCCCTGGGCTTGTAATTGTCGGCAAGCATAGAACGATGCGTGGCAGTGCTGAATACAATCCTGCCGGAATATATGTCATTTACGACTGCTCTTATCATCAGAAGCCTGAGGCTGGACTGCGCAGCCGTCAAGACGTACCTTTTTGAGTGACGGGACTGGCGACAAAGTGTTTTGCGTTGGTAGATATCGCCATCTCAAGGGCGCTTTGACCGTCTTGGAGCTGGTCCTTGGAGCCCAGCACTTGCTTGACTTGCTGGACGACCTGGAAGGGAACAACCAGTCAAGGCGACCATCGACGTCTCGCAGGCTCGAGACGAACCTCGGCTGATGCTCCGGCCAGCGGACTCCAGGGACTTGTCAAGACCGCAACCAGAGTGATATGATTGGACGCGAAGTGGCTGAGAAGCTTCATCGCCAGGATCTCGCATAATGTGGCCTGCGTCATTTCAGTCATACGTGAGACCGAGGAGTTAGATCCGCCTACGCGAGACAGCATGACACCTGCATACGCAAGGTCTTCCTCGCACTCTTGGAGAAAATAGGCCTAGAAAACCTGGATTGATCGTTGCGAGGGTGTGAAGGCCAGGTCGGAACCCACCCTGTTCACAAGACACGCATAGACAACAGCCGGATTCTTGAGCTAGTTCGCACACGTAAGCTCTGCCCCGCAGTGCATGCTTTTCGGCGCACCTTCGCGTACTTGAGAACTAGTGGGCGAACAATCGAAAAATTGATGTCGGAAGCCGTGAGCTGGCTGAAGCACAGATCAACGTCGAGTAGAACAATATGAAACGCGACAGTACACACTCCCAGCTTAATGCGCTGTCGATGGTTTCCTGAAACAACCCGGAATTAAGCCGACGCGCAGCGACAGATGCATGTCGCCCACTCACAGCTGCATCCTTCCTCAGCGCAACAATGAGGGGAAACACGGCCACAGCGGCCAGGGCCTCGGGTGTCGGTGCGAGCAGACCGGCCGTTTGTTGCTCGCGGTCCATAGTTGCTAACTGCTTGATGAGGATCAATCGATTCTTGTGGTACAAGTATGTAGTGGTGGATCAAACAAATGTTGTGTTGCAACAGCAGGTCATGCTGAAGTGCCGCCTGTCGGTGTCAAATTGATTGCACTGGGCTAAATCGGGACGGATCATCTCCGCATTTATGTGGAGTCTCCTCGAGGAGAAGGTACATCACAGAAATAATATGCAATCCACTCCGCGCAGGCAAACGTGGTGGTTCAGAACAAGACGTTGACTCATTGGGAACAAGGACCCCGTTCGACTGGGCAGGGATTGGCCGGACTGACCGGCACGTGGAGAGATCAGAATAGACATAAAGATCAAAGCTCTCAGGAGTAACGGTGTCGGCGGTTTCTTGATCCTCTCTTCCCCCTCCCTCTCCCCTCTTCGCCAAGTTCCACTCGTTCTTTGGGCCGGCCGGTACTCCAGGCTAGACGCTATGGGAGCCGTCTGCTGCTGTGCGTTCCTCCACCCTATCGACTTACTGTCCTCCCCGGGTCTTAACGTACACATAGGTTTATCAGAACCCGTCGACTACAACGCAGAGGTCACCCTTTACCACTTCGACCTCCACCGTGCGGTTGGGAAGGGTGCCTTCGGAAAGGTGGCTCTTGCCGACTGAGCCGCTCTACTCTATCTCAACGCCACACACTAACAGGTTCGCGTCGTCGAGCACAAACCGACCAAAAAGCTCTACGCCCTCAAGTACATCGAGAAGAGCAAATGTATACGGCAGAAAGCAGTGGCAAACGTCATTCAGGAGCGACGCCTCCTTGAGGAGATCGACCATCCATTCGTGGTCAACATGCGATATGCATTCCAAGACGACGAGAACTGCTTTTTTGTGCTGGATCTTATGTTGGGTGGAGATTTGCGCTGTGCGTCTAGAGCGTCCACCTTCCATGTCTCACACTCACACTTGCACAGTTCATCTGGAACGTAAGAGCACTATCGAAGAAAACGTCGTCTGTTTCTGGATAGCAGAACTCTCTTCTGCCCTCGAATACCTCCACCGGCAAAAGATTATCCACCGTGATATTAAACCTGACAACATTCTTTTGGACGCTGCGGGGTAGCTATGCTTTTAAGTTGACATTCAAAGATCTGACGCCGCTCCCCAGACATGCGCACTTCACGGACTTCAATGTTGCGATCCACTACTCTAACAACCGGCAACATACCAGCGTAGCCGGTTCAATGGCCTACATGGCGCCACAAGTGGTCGGTCGCAAGGGGTACTCGTGGCAGATCGACTGGTGGAGTCTCGGCGTCACTGCGTATGAGCTTCTATTCCACCGACGACCGTTTGACGGCTCTTCATCTGAGCGGATGACGCGTTCCATCACGAAGGATCCCTTGAGGTTTCCCGAGGATTGCCGGTCCAAGGTCTCGGACAGTTGCATTAAAGCACTGAAAGGGGTACGCTTTTTTCCCTCGTAACATGGTCTCCGCTCATGCGAGCACAACCAGTTCATTGACAAGGATCCCCTCACTCGGCTGGGTTGTCGCCCTGATGGCCAGGGCTTTGAGGACATCCGTCGGCATCCATGGTTCGCAGGGCTCAACTGGGACGATCTGGAGAATAAGGAAGCACAGCCACCTTTTGTCCCCTCTGTTCGTATTCTGCGTCTCCATCTTCCGTAATCGGGCACTAACTTTCTGGCTCAGAAGGATGCTGCTAACTTTGATGTATCACACGAGTTGGACGAGTTTTTGATGGTGGAGAAGCCCTTGACACATACTAAGCGCAAGGCCAACGCCGATTTGGACAAACTCAAGCCTGAACTACGCGAGCTGGAAGAGAAGTACGTGTTCCCGTTCGCTGCGCTCTGACGCCGCTGACCGTCCCTCCAGGTTCACTGTCTACGATTTCGCCCATTCTAAGCGGATGTCGTACTACCCAGATAATCAGCCCATCGTTACCGTGGGATCGGAAGCCGATACCGATAGGACGCTGGCGCCATCACAGACTGCGACGGTGGCCGAACGTTCGCAAGCCGGTTCCCCTGCGTTCGAGGCAGCACATCTCGATCATCCTTTACCCGAATTTCCCGCTCGAGCCCACACCCCACGGCGTTCACATTCTCCTTTGCATCCCGAGCGCGGTGGCGCTGAGCGGTCGCCAGACTCGCCATGATGACAAGATCCTTGCTGTGTTCTTTCCGCAGACACCTTATAACTCTGGAATAATCACGTTCGCAACTTACTTAACTCATATTAACCTTTACTCTGGCAGAGAGTCCAGGCGGTTCTCATTTGGCATACACTACCACATGTAAACTTTGTACTTTCATTTCTGCATCACTCTTGTGTAACACTACCATGTCCGATTCCGACTCGAGTTCCGAAACCGATCGTGTTGTCTGTCTGGTGGATATGCCACCCATCGAGCAGCTCTATCAAGAGGGTATCCTGAAGCCTGCCGGGAAAGAGCGGTACCCGGGCAACGAGGAGCTGCTCAGTCGCATTTCGCTCTTGTGAGACCGCCTCCTACTCGTGCACTCACGCGCTCCGCCTCACGCGCCCACCCATCCTTGCAGCCAGGGAGACATCACCACCATCGAAGTCGACTCCATCGTCAACGCCGCGAATCGGAGTCTTCAGGGCGGAGGAGGCGGTGCGTGATTGCAGCACCCCCCGCGACTGCGGACACACCGCTTAGATCTCCGCAAGAGTTGATGGCGCGATCCACTCCGCGGCGGGCAGGCAGCTTTTCGAGGAGTGTGAGTCGTGTCAAGTTGTCCTTTGTCGCGCGGCCTTAGATTATTGCGCTTCCATCCAGGTCTGACTCTGGATGGCTGCGAGACAGGTCAATCCAAGATCACCGGGGCCTACGAACTACCCTCGTTCGTCTGGATAATCCGTCCCTGTCTTCGAGGCTCCCAGCTGTTGACGCGTTTTGCAGCAAGCGCATCATCCACACCGTGGGGCCCGTGTACTCTTCTCTCAATGCAGAGGCGTGTGCCCAACAGCTCGCCTCGTGCTATCAGACGAGTCTCGAGCTCGCGGTCAAGCACGATCTGAAACATATCGTGCGTCGCGCATTGAATCTTCCAGGGCGTCCATCCGATGCTCATCCTGCGCAGGCGTTTCCCTCGGTGTCGACCGGTATCTATGGATATCCCATAGCGGATGCCACACACATCGCGCTTGACGTGGTGCGGCGATTCTGTGATTCGGAGGACGGCACCAAGCTGGAGCGTGTCATCTTCGTGCGAGATCTTGCCTTGTTCTGTGCACTTCTGACACTGGGCTCACAGGTCGTGTGGAGCAACAAAGACAAGGGTGTCTACGAGTATGTCGTCTCGTTTGGGGGGATCGGAATCCCTGACCTCGCTTGACCCTCTGCAGGACGTTAATTCCGCAATACTTCCCACCGGGCACTGCCGACCCTGCAAACCAAGTGCCAGAAAGTCAAGCGCAAGCTTCGGAAAACGTACAAAAAGAATAGGCATCGACTGGCGAAACACGACCAGCAAACTCTGAGGTCGGCAAGGCATAGACTTTTCGTATTGATACAATGTACAGAAGCCGCAATGATATTCGTGTTTCCTACTCCCTGATCTGGCCGTGCTTCCTCATCCATTCCTGGATGTGAGGTAGTCCGGTGTGAGGGCCGCGCATAGGCACTTGCGATGGGGGCTTGGGCGGTGGTAGGCCGGTTTCGGCTAGCGCACTGGCACGCAACTCGTCCCACGTTCCGCCCCGATTGAAGATCTCTACTGAGCCGTCTTTGGGTCGGGCATCGAGGATCTGCTGGCGAAGGTCCACGGTGGCCGACTGGTTGACGGAAAAGTCGTCGTTAACAACCACACCGTAGCGCCTCGCTCCGTCGAAAGAGACGAGGCCGCGGTGGACCTCGAGCGCAACCAACGCCGGATCGCGCTTCAAAGGATCGCCATAGCCCCCGCCACCCCAGGTTAGCCATTCAAGTAGGTCGCCCTTCTGCACTTGGATGTGATCTTGCTTGCTTTGCAGCTGCGCGATGGTTCGATCAGTCTCTCGCTCATTTCCACAGAGTTGAGCATCGAGCACACACCACTTCTCTCCGGCCGGATCCGTCTCCGTAATGGACCAAGATCTTCGATGACCGCCCGCCAGGCTCGCCGCCAATGACACCCCAGGGCTTGGACAGCCATCGGTCGTCGTGGACAGAGATCTCGCCTTCTTCCAGGAACCGGTAGAAGATGCGCTGTCCATTTCCACCGCGGTAGAGCCCAGGGCCGCCCGAATCCCGGACGGTGTTGTACTCTTCGATTCGCAGCGGGAAGTACAGCTCCAGGAACTCATTGGGGACTGATCGCATCAACGGCCACAGCGAGTGCCCATCGGGCCCGTCCCCGTGCGGCCTGGCCGGAATGCCTCCAAAGCCGATCTGGTATAGCTGCCAGTAAGTACCGTTCTCTCGGAATCTAGGGAATTTTAGATTGACCATCACAAGCCTCGAGACCCAGTGTGCTCACCCAGAGAACATGAAATGTGGCGAGTCAGAGAATCCGCCGGCATTCATAAATTCAGGCGCGTTCTGGCCCAGCAAACCGGACAAAATGTCCATGACTCGGCCGAGCAGATGGGTCCTTGTCGACAATGCAGCAGGTCGGACGGGGTTGAGAAGGGTGCCCTCGGGAATGTGCAGCTCTACGAGGCTGTGGAACCCATCGTTGACCACACATCCGGGATCGAACTGCCCTCAGTCAGCTCTCGAAGACCAAAGACGTCAGGAAACGTACCACAGTGACGAGATAGATGCCGACGAACATCTTGAACCTGCAAACGCCGTGAATCAGGAGGCCAAACCTGCCAAGGAGGCGAGCACTAACATATTGTGGCTGAGGTAGTAGTTGATCGAGGACGAGCTCTGGGGATCGGTGCCCGTGAAATCAAGCTTGAGGATTCCATTGGACTTGGACATCGTGCAGGCGACCTTCCACGGGCCAATACCCCGTCCATCGTCGTCGATCCAGTCCTCAAAGTACACCGGCTGATCAGGAATCACATTCTGGATGATGGCATTGATGGCTGCGTAGTTCCGCTTCAGCAGCTCGTCGATGGCAGCGAAGTAATTCTTGTCCCCGAAGCGGCGGTACAGCTCCTGCATGCGGCGCCCAGCCAATGTGCACGCCGCCACGAGCGCTTGAGTATCGCCGCGGTTCCATTCCGGAAGCCGACAGTTTCGATAGATGATCTCCATCACGGCGTCGTTCCAGACGCCTCGTGACGCGACTTTTGTCACGGGAATCTGGATTCCCTCCTCGAAGATGGTCCTGGCTGCAGTGGGCAGCGATCCGGGCACGGCTCCTCCGGTGTCCGTCATGTGACCAAAGTTTGCCGCTGGGGGAGATGTGAGTCGAGGGATCTGGTTGAGATAAACGATTGATTACTCCAGGCGATCAGCTTTCCCTTGACATGGATGGGCATCATGACCAGCCAGTCGTTCAAATGACTGATTGATCCGCCCACACTGTAGGGATCGTTGACTGTAGGCTGGCGTCAGAGATCACCGGAAGGAACCAGGAAAAGTCCAGGCACCCAGGAAGATATCGCCCTCTGAAAAGTTTGAGACACAGAACGAACGAGCTGATATAGAAGGCTAACCTTCAATAGTGCCTTTCCACCGGTCCAGAAACTGTCCAATAAAAGATCCGAACTGGCCTACAATCATCTTGCCGCTCGGTTCCGCGATCACGTTGTATTCATCCTGGTGAAACTGATTTCAATCCAAGTAGATGACTTTGAGGATTCGGCCGCTCACCATCTGGTCGCGGATAGCCGGCGAGAGACTGGAGCTGCTCATCAACGTGTCCATCTCGCTGCGGGCGTTGCGAAGCGCCGACTCGAAGATGTCGACCGCCACGGGGTCGAGCTCGTCGTCCGCAGCAGCTTCGTGCGAGACCGGCTTGAGCAGACCGGACTCCCAGATAAGCAAGTTGCCGATTTCGTCAACATCAGCCTTGAATCCAGGCAGGACCACGGTATTGCTGTCCATCTCGTTCACGACACAGGGCCCTACAGGCACATTAGAGAAAGTCCAAAAACGCTGGGAGGTGACGCACCATGGAGCACATGCCCGAATTTGAGGAGCGACCGGTCCCAGATCGGGCTGTCCTTATGTTCCTTGCCCTGATACACGAGATTCGTGCGGTTGACGATGGCCTCTGGAGGGGGACTGGGATCCTCAGCCTGGTCGAGTTTCGGAATCTTGATATCCGCAGGCTGCTCTTCAACCACGATACGCAAGTTCATGAGCTCGACGTGGCCAGACAGCCGGTAAGTGAATGCTTTCTCATGCGCCTTCTCGAACAGTTCTCGCAGGTGGAACGTCGCCTCGAGCAGGAGCTGGTTGAAATCAACGTCGACTGCAAGTGTGATCGCCTGTCCGAGATAACGCAGATCGGCTTGGTACTTATAAACCTGTTTGTCTCTAGGGACGCCCTGATCCTCCAGCATAATCTTCCCCGCCTTGGCCATGAGCTCCGCGTAGCCTTGCAAGAGCTCGTCGCTGTTTGTCTCGGCAAGATCGCGAATGAACGTGCGCGTCTCCTCGTGCCGCAGGACGGTGGTCGCGTCGCCCCATGCACACAGCACTCCCGGCGAAGGCGGAATGATCACGGGATACGAATGGAGCAGGATGCCCAGCGCATTGGCATGCAAGGGCCCAGCACCGCCGAACGCGACCAGGCTGAAGTCACGTGGATCGTAGCCCTGCTCGACCGAGACCAAGCGGAGCGCCCCGTACATCGTCTCATTCGCGACGCGGATGATCCCCTCCGCAGCATCAAACAGACCGATCCCCAGCGCATCGGCGATCTTCTGGACGGACTGACGGGCTTGATCCAGATCCAGCTTGAAGGCACCGCCCAGGAGATACTCGGGAAGATAGCCAAGCACCGCATTAGCATCCGTGACGGTGGCATTGGTGCCTCCCTTGCCGTAACAAGCAGGTCCTATGATCGTTTTCAGTGTCTTCGGAATACAACAAGTAGAACAGCACGTGCCTGGAACAGCCCCAGCACTCTCAGGTCCTACGCGCAGAAATTTGGTAATCTCAGGCACATGCGCGATCGATCCCCCGCCGGCTCCGACAGTACGAACGTCGACTGAAGGAGCCCGAACAATCAAGTCTGCAACGTGAGTTTCGCGGCGGATCCGAGGTGTCGCATTCTTGGGAAATCAGATATTCAGCGTGAGAGCCATTCCGAAAAAGTCAAGTTGCTGACCTCAACTAGGGCAACGTCGGTGCTGGTCCCACCCATGTCAAGAGTGATCAAGTTCTTGTACTTCGTTCCAGCTGCAACGGATGAAACAACACCAGACACTCCCCCTGCCGGACCGGAGAGCGCGAGAGTGACCGGAAAGCGGGTGGCGAGCGAAACAGAAGACAGTCCGCCATCGGAGCGCAGAATCCGGAGATGCTGAGTCTTGCCTTTGAGCGATTGCAGAAGATTGTTCAGGTATCGAGCGACGCGTGGTTTGACATAAGAATTGGCCACCGTCGTCACAGCTCGTTCATACTCCATCAGCTCCGGCAGAACGTCCGAGGAGAGCGACACAGGCACATCAGGCAAGACCTCGGACAAGACGCGCAGGACGGCGTCTTCGCTGAAGAAAGCATAAGCTAGAATGCTACTACTGCGCTCCAGATGGCCCACGTACTGCTTCGGATTGGCAAAAGAATTCATCAGGCTGACAGTGATGGCTTCCGGGTCCTGCCCTATGAGGGACTTCAGACGCGCTCGAAACACCGCCTCGTCGAACGGCCGGATCTCTGTCCCGTCGGTGGCAATCCGCCCTGGAGCCTCGACCGTCATTTCGAGCGGCGCGAGAGGCTCGGGCTTCTTCCACGTTATCCAGCCCGCCAGACCACCCGGAACCTGCGACCTGCGCGTTTGCAGTACATCCTTGTAGCCTTCGGTCAGAATCAGGGCGACTTTCGCACCCCGGCCCTCGAGAATGGCGTTCGTCGCGACGGTCGTTCCGTGGTTCACGACGTGGAGCTCGATGTTCGCGCCGTCAGGGATCTTGGAGAGCACCTCGTCGATCCCTGCGCGGACACCGATCGATTGGTCCTCAGGTGTGCTGGGAACTTTCGCGCGCCATGTCTCTCCCGTATCCTGAACAGCTTCAACAGAGATAAGGATCAAGAGGGCAGAGGGGACAGACCTTAAGAAGCAAAACATCTGCATTCAAGAATCAGTTCCGTCGTCCCGCAGCGACTGGCCCATGCAATTACCTGTGAACGAACCGCCGGTGTCTACTCCCAGTCGCCAAGTTCCTCCCATGACGGTTCGTGGAGGAGAAGAGACCGGACGTCACTATAGATGCGGTATCGCGCAGTCTAAATAGATGGCTTCCATCGAGGCGGCCGACAAGGCTTAGCAAGAATTCCAGGACTGGTGCCGTGCCGGATATGTCACAGATATCCACTCCAAGGAAGATAAGCGCAGAGATAGCGTGCCGTTAATCGAGAATTTGGGCAGTTGGCAACAGCGGCTTCTCGAAGAGTTTGAGCCGGTCACGGTCAAAGGGAAACCAGGTCCCCGATCACATGCCCGTGATTGGGGGAACGTCCCATCCACTCTATCATCTAATCTAATCACAACTGAGTGACAGCACATACTTGGATTGCTTCAATTCGCTCTTACGACCTGTTAACGCAATGAGGTCCTACCCGCAGTATCGCCTGCTATTTCTTGTGTTTGCTCTTGTGTGCTGTTTCTATGTCCTACGTCCGTCTGCTATGAAGAGTTCTGGAACCTCCCACCTTGCCAAAATCGCGGTAACAGGCTCCAATGGGTCTGTAGGAAAACGCGTAGTTCTCGCGGCTCTTCAACACGGCTATCAGGTCGTCGGGATCGACCACTCTTCTGCGATCATGCCAGAGAACGCAGAGAATTTTTCGTTTCTCCAGGTCGACCTGAAAGACTACGAGCAGACACTAAGAGTACTCTCATTTCCTTTTGGGACGAGACGACTACCCTATCTTACTGCAAATCTCAGGCTCTTGAAGGATGCCAAGCCGTCATCCATCTCGCTGCTGTGCCTAATCCGGCGGACTATCGAGTGCTCACTCACAACAGGTCACAGCAAAGCCTTTCACCTCACCCGTCGATGCTGATCCACGCTCAGCAATGTCATCATCTCCTGGAACGTCCTCCGCGCTGCTTCAGAGGTACCCCTTGCCGAAAATATCCCCGCATTATCCACTCATCCTTGCAGCTCGGTATCAAACGCATAGCACAGGTAAAGCCGCGGCGTGCGACTCGTACACGGACCAGTTCTGAAGCATGATTCAGGCCTCCTCGGTCAACGTTCTTCCGATGGTGTTCAGCAAAGAGCACCGATTCGAGTTCTTTCCTATCGACGAAAGCCACGTCTGTCTACCCGATGAGCCGTACGGGCTTTCCAAAGTGTTCGAATCCCTGCTCCCAGCTTGTTGTGCATATTTGCTCACTTTGTCAACCACAGGATATCTGAGTTACAGGCCGGTACGAAATGGCTCGTCTCCTGCGCTCGTTCGCGGACTCAAACAATCCGCAGACACTATCGTCCGCCGGTATCCTGATCTCAGAGTCGCCAGTCTGCGCCTGCACTGGTCGGTCCCGAGCCGCGACTTCGCCTTCGCTTCCCGGGGAGCGGAGGACGGCAAGAATGATCTCTGGGGCTACGTCCAAGAGGATTCAGCCGCGAAGGCATTCATCCTGGCCATCAGCTGCCCGACCGATAAATGGCCGTCTGCCGCGGAAGCGTTCTTCATCGCGGCCCCAGATGTTGCGAACGACCGCGAGACCGCCGAGTTGCTGCGAGAGCATTGGCCAAATGTGCCCATCAAAGAGGGGAAACACTTGTCTGGTCATATGGGACTCTTTGATTGCTCCAAGGCGAAAGCGCTTTTGGGATGGGAGCATCATTCATAACATAGCGTATGTGATAGTAGTACAGAAGTAGATCGGTATTTTACAACAACTTATACGATAGCAATGACTTCCTGGACAGCAGATTTTCGATAACTCAAAAGTAGCAGAAATAGATCAGCAAACGACACAACTGTCCTCTCGGATGGGTGGCTTGTCGAGGATCACTTGGCTTCTCATCCGCAAGTCGTCGACCTCGGCCTCCAGTTTGCTTGTCCGCGCCCGTTCTTCCATCCGAAGATTAGTGAGCAGAGGAAGCGTCTCCGCGACTTTATTCCATCTGTTGCATCGGTCGCGCACTGTGGAGTGCACCTCAGGCTCAAAGTGTCCCGACGCCGGCAGATCCCACGTGACACCAGACTCCAACTGCGTGTCCAACGGACATATCTTGCTGAGGAAGAGCGCAACCGGTCCGTCCTCGTCAATGAGAGACACTCCCATCGACAGGCTCTGCAGTTTCGCAAAGCTCGGCCACTGGTTCCCGGCCGGAATACCAGCAGCTGATGCGTTGACAAACAGACCCAGTTTCTCCAGTTCCGGGCAATGCCTCGCAAACGGCAGCAGGGAAGCTAGAGTGAGGGAGCACGAGTCCAAGACCATAGGCTCGTTGTTCAGAATGAGCTTCTTGAGCGAAGGCCAAGAACGCGCCAGCTGCTCGAGCTCATCTTCCGCCAGATCCATTGGATACTGGTGCGTGATGTCAAAGACGGTGAGGCTGGGGAGATGCTGCAGGGGGCGGATGGTCGAGAAGGACATGCGATTTTCTCTCGGTATCGCGTCCAACTTCTCGATAGGCTCCTCGTCGCTGACTGCAGTGATGATGCTCAACGTCTCCAGCAATTGGCACGACTCGGATAAGGTCGTGAGAAACTCGTACACGACCTCCGGCGTCTCGAACAAGCGCGAATCCACCAGCAGAGAGGTGAGATTGGCCGGGCAGGAAGGCTGCTTCATGAGCCGAACAATGTCCCCGAGAGATACAGTCAGCGATAGATCGCCTAGAGATGGATACGATCCTGGCCCTAGAGCAGGCCGGAAGACCTCTATATCAGAAGGATCTCCGAACCCTTGCTCGGGATCATACTGGAACTCCAGGCATTCCAAGTCCGCCAGCTTCGCAGCGCACTCGGCGATGCGGGTCGTCAAAAAGAACCTCGGCAGCACAACCTCCGCAGCTTCGATAAGTTTTCCACGACAAAGAGGAGGTGGGACTCGATGTCGCGAACGGGAGTTTCGCAGTGTATGTCGAGATTCGTGATGGATGGCATCCGCGAGACAACATCCCGAAAGAATGGCGAGTGGGGTGTGAGCTCGTGCTGCCCATCAAGTCGAACGACAAAGTGTTTGACATTGGCGTGCATGAACATGACGAGGAGGTGTAATGGTGCTTCCCAGGCTATGGACCGTGTATTCGGGAGAACAACCAAGCTTGTCCTTGTTCTTGCGATAACTTCGAAGACGGTGGGACACAGCGCAAATGAGCAGCTCGCGTGGTAGACTAATCGTTTGACTCGTCGGCTGTATCGCTCCGCACGTTTCCAATCGTCGGCGTCTGGGGGTGCAGTGAACTCCTGAACGAAAGTGTTCAAGTGATACTGCAGCCAGACTATCCAATTAAGCACGCACCAACGGGGCATCGGGTTTGTCGCTGGTGGGCTTGAGAGGCTTGAGGATCGCAAACAGGTGATATAAGTCGTCTAAATCGCGCCAGACACTGTCCAGAGCAATTTCAGACCACCGCTTGCAGACACGGGCATTGGCAACATTGCAGGAGTTATCCAGATAGCGAAATATCATATCCAACAGTTCTGGGATCTCCAACGCGCGATTCGTAGGGCTGGACGCGCGAAACGCCATTGTGGTTGAGGTCAATGAGAAGGTGGGAACTTCAAGGTCATTCATTGGGTCATTGACGATTTGTCATCAACTTCTCAAAATTCTTGCTTGGTTCCTCCATGCTTCCAACGGCGGCCAGGGCCCGTATGTTCCTTTACTTCTCCCAAGTTATCCAGCTGACCCTATTTGCTCTATGTAGTTAGATGCAGCGCGGGGCGTTTTCTCCATTCCGGCAGCGTCGCTCCGACCTCCACCTCATCCGCTCTTGAACTCATCCGTTCGCAACCGTCCCGGTACATCGTAGCGACTCTCGGAGGAAGGAAACACGTTCTCACACCACCGCGACTCCTCACCGTCCCTCGCATACGCGACGTCAAAGTCGGAGACGTCGTCGCGCTGTCTGCCATCCCGAGTTGGGCTCGCGAGAGTACACCTTGCGCGGCAACCCGACCATCTCGACGGCATCCGGCCTGCGCGTGAACGCGACGGTGGTGTCGAGCATACCAAAGGCGCTATGGAGTTCATATTCAAAAAGAAGAGGAGAAAGGGATACCAAAAGCTCATCCAACACAAGCAGCCGTACACGCGGTTGAGGATTGGGGAATTCGAGATCACTCCCGGGACAGGGACGGTGGTCAATGATGTACCTAGTCAGGCATGATCCAATTATTATTCGTTTTCGTGCGTTCTGTGTATTTGATCCTCGCTAAGTTTCGCAGTGTGCGAGTCAGCGCATGCCTGAGCATGGTATGTTCCGCTAATAGCGCCGATGACCGACATGACTCTCATGTTTCGGGAGCGAGAATCGATTGACTCGAATCATTCGGTATTTCTATAAGTCTTTTCCCGCTCATCTTTTTGCCCTCGCACGATGGATCAGTCAGTAGCAGAGAGGATCGCCTCCTGTCGGGGTATGGGCCGACCTCCAGTGTACCTCAAGCCCAATACCGACTCGATGTGGTGTCCAAATGGCCAATTCACGCCGGAGCGCGTGTCCTGGAACTGGGTGGCTGCGGGGCGCCAAGGGACACGACGCTTGCGCTTGCTGAATCGGTTGGTGCCTCGGGACATGTATACGCTCTAGATCCTGGGCCACAGACTATTGGTATGCACGTCGTCTACGCCGACTTGTGGGACACGACTTACGCACATCGCCAGGCTCACCGACGACGTTGGGCGAAGCTCACGACGTCATCACAGCAGGCCCTCTCGGATCTCGCATCACCTGGATTCAAGACGAGCGTTGGCATATCTCAGCTCCCACACCGGACCGCCAATACGATGTCGTCGTGCTGGCCCACAGCCTGTGGTACTTTGCCTCGCCGAGTCTGATCGCAGAGACCTTGCGCGTGCTCAAAAAGCACGCCCGGCACATCTGCATCGCAGAATGGAGCTTGTCGTACGGAAAGGCAGCAGTGGGGAAACTCACGTGCTCGCCGTGCTCGCCCAAGCAGCTCTCGAGTGCCGGAAACCCACCTCGACCTCCATGTTCGCACAGTTGTGTCCCCGGCCCGGATCAAGGCGCTCGCTGCACAGCTGGTCTCACGCTCGCCTCCGAACATCGGTGGCACCGGGACAAGGTGTCCATGACGGTCGTTGGGAAACGCAACATGTGCTCAGCTCAGGGTTCCTCAAAGAAGTCGAACAGTTTGTCCTTGACGAGCGGAGAAGGACATGGTCATCGCTTTCAAGGACTCGGTTGCCGCAAGCGTCGACAGGATCGGTGGAACTAAGCAAGTCCAGTCTATGGATGGATGGACCGCAACTTTCGAATCGAGTAACGTAGAGGTGTTATAAAACATAGAAAGTAGTACACTATCGGCTCAAGCAAAGCTAAAGCATTCTCCGATAGCAGTCTCAATATCTCTCATCAAGAGCCCGCCAATGGGATGGGCCTCGGCTGGTCCAGTCAGCCTCTGCGACTCGTTCCGCCGGCCGCAACTCGCAAAGGCCGATACTTCGCTCATGCACGAAGGAGTCCTGCGAATAGACAGGACGGGATAGAGTCGCTAGAATAAG